ACTGGGGGGGGGGGGGGGAGGAAAGGACATTGATTGTGAATTTACATAGGCATAGTGGATTGTGCTGTTCCTTGTTCAGCACATGGCAAAACAGTCCGTACAGCCTATTACTTGCACAAGTTCAGACCAGATAGACTCTTGACAGTCGAGACCAGGCTGGATTCCACGACCATTGAGCCTTTTGTGGGCCGGGCTTCATGTGATTTGTGGGCCTGAACCCTACCCGGCTCTCTCTTCTATGGATTTGCTCTCATTTCGATGCATCATATGAGATGGACCTGTCTTTGGACTATATACGAGTATGGTATTTTTCATTCGACCTATACATATATATATATCGAGTGAATACATTAGTAAAAGAAAGTGGATCCATACAAACATGGCAGTCTCTTATGTTATGTAGGAAATACGGATGGATTCATAATATAGCAAGCAACCTATATTCGGCTCTCCTCGACAATGCACGTGAAACTTTTTTTTTATAAAAAAAAAAAAGAAAATATGATGTAAAGTGTTCGTTCTCAAGCCTTAACGGCGGTGGAGATCTTGCGCTTTTGCTGGAAGTTGGGGTCTCCTTGTCGGCCGACGGCAGTGTTCTCAAGCTTATGGGCGGAGGCCCGTAAATTCACCGGAGAAATCGGCTCCTCCTCTAGGCTTGGACGTGGATTCTCGTCCTCTATTGACACGTCATCATCCTTCGCCTTTGGATTCGCTACATCGTCCATACCCTGCAACATCACCAAAACAAACTTCAAAACAATTAAAATCAAATTATGTGGATTCAAATTCAATCATCTTACTTCGGGGTCTTTGGGGTAAACAGCTGGGTCGGCTCCGTCGTTGCCGGAATGGATGTCGGGATCGGCAGTGCGGCCATTACTGGCCGATCGAGACGCCACGCCTTGCGCCAGAGCTCGACCGCTACAGTTAACGACAGAGAACCGCGACGCAACCGCAAACGCTAGGCGGGACTGCATAGTGCTCGCGTTCAAAGTATAGCGTTCGATGTTGCAGTGAGATGTGATTAGAGTTGCGGGACTCGCTTACTGGGCTTGAGCCTTGAGGGGTCAAATTTTCAAAGGCTTGGGTTTTTTGGCGGTGGAGTACGCACTTTTCGACGCGACACGTCAGAGTTAAGGCTGAGGGTTGCAAAACTACGTGGCGGTTTTACGAGCTTCGTAAACGCTTAGATGCCGCTCCAAAGACCTAAATTTTCTCCCTAGCTTTTAAGCTATTTTTTATTACTTTTCTAAATACTTCACCTTCCGTAAATTCGTTTTCTTTTAGAAACAGAACCGGTTCAGTGAATCGCCCGTCGTCAGGACGACACAAAGAAAAATTGACCAGAGTTCCCAACATCGAAGTTGGTGACGGCCTTGTCTGGACAGGAACATCGCAACACAAACAGAAAAAAGAAAAAGAAAAAAAGAGTTTACCCGAAAATCAAATCGACGTCTCCACGTTCCCTATTGTCCGACACAAATCTGGTTATGCTCTTCGTCCTGCAACCAGAGTTTCAAAAGGGGGCACTAATGATAACTTAGTAATGCCCAACATTCTGACGCATAATCAGATTAGTTGTGTGGAGTTATAAAAGAAAAAACGATAGAAGAGCAGCATGTCTTTTTAATACCTTCAACCAAAGTTGAAACCACCGGCGGGAACATTAGATTTTGTTGCCGAAATCGAAGACGGATCTCACACCATCCTCGTCGTCCGGCCAATAAGTCTCCAGCATTTTCACGGCCTTGTTGTAAATCTCGTCGTTGTGGTGGCTCTGTAGATTCGCTATCTTCTCAAGCCCCTCTGCCTCTTCTACCGTTTGCCCGTACACATTGTCTCCTTCACCTGTGTTGTTCCCTTTGCACTTCTCCGCCTCTCCCACCTTCAGTATGTTGTCTATACCTTCCAGACATACCGTTACGATCCTCGGATCCGGACAAGTTAAGAGATCGCACATCGGTTTGATGCATCCTTGGCTCGCAAGGTACCTATAGAAAGATACGGTGATCTACGTGATTGGTTTTTTTTTTTGGCCTATTAGTAGATCAAAAGGAACTTACTTGATTTGTTCATGGGTACCACCAGAGGTGGCATTGGAGATTGCCCATGCGGCTTCCTTCTTTATTTCGAATTCTGCACTTTGGAGCATCTGGAGAAGAGGCGGAATAACTCCGGCCTGAATCACCGTCTGCATGATTTCGAGGGGACAGACATGTCTTAGGAGTTGTGTAATGGAAACATGCGCAGAAATGGTTTCGAGTACCAAAAAAGTTGGAAAAGGTGTCTTGTTTCGTGGAATCATTGTCGGATTCGCACTCACTTGTATCTGATTTACATTTCCTGCTGTAATGTTTGAGATAGTCCAGCAAGCTTCCTTCTTAATACACTTCTTGTGCTTATTTGTCAGAAGGTTTACCAGGCGAGGAAGGATTTCATTGTCAAGAACTACCTGTGAAGGAGAAAAAAAAATGCGCAGGATGATCAGTTCAAGCCATAGAATCATCCATACCATGTAAAGGTGTATGCTTTCAATCGTTACCTGAGTCTGTATATCATCCCCAGTTATGATATTTCCAACCGTGCGAAGAGCAGGGATCAGCACTGTTGACGATGGATGACTAACAGAGGAAGGAAGAGACACATTTCGATGTGAATCAAGAAATGGAAGCACGTATTGTGAATGAAAATGGAATATCAGATCCTCACGCTAAGAGTTGAATGAGCCGGGGGATAATCCCTGCTTCGATAATAGCTTGTATTTTGTCATTTGTACCATCCGACAGATATGATAGAGCCCAACATGCATCTGTGAGAACTTCTTCATCGTTTGAATGCACAAGGCGCTCCAGAACTGGTAAAATCGGTTTAATCTGCTCAACAAAGAGATGGGAGAGCATTTAGAAACTGATTCCATTCACATACGAAGAGCATAGATTGTACAGATATTGCTTGTAAACTATCACCAACCTGCTCAAATGAAGGCTGTGGCTTCCCCCTGCAGAAGTTTGATAACGTCCATGTAGCATTTCTCAGCACCGAGAGTTTCATATGTTCATTAAACAGTGCCAGAAGTGGTATCATGCCCCCATAGTCCAGGACAATATCACGGCATTTTGGCGAGTCCCCGGAAATGTTTCCTAATGCCCAGACGGCCTGCAGTCAATGGAACCCAAAAAAACTTCAGCTTCATCCAGCTTGTTCTTGAGCCTAAGATCCAAAAGTTTCTTATGTAACTAGGAAGACACTGATAAACCCTTTCTTATTTTGGAGAAGGAGCAAGATGGGAAGGCTGACTCACACCGCAGGGATAGGTTTTTGAGAGAGGAACACTATAATGAGGCAGAAACGAATATTCTCTTTTCTGTTATGGGTTGTCTGCCATAGTATTGCCACATCAGCGGTTTGTTGCGATGAGGGTCTTTATATAGCTTTCTCTATCATTTGGGGAGATTATCGAATGTTTTGAGAAAAGTGTGGGAAATGGGAGAGTGGAGCCTCTCGAATAGCTCTCAAACGTGGTATTTCACTTGTTGAGGAATACAATATGGGTTTTAGGTTACCAAAACCTTATCAGACACTCGCATGACGACAGGTGATGGAAATATACCTGTTCTCGGACATCCTCGCTTGGAGAACTGAGAAGCTTGACAAATAGTGGGACAGCCCCGTTATCGATGATGGATTTAGTATTCTCCGATGTCCCTGAAGCAATATTGGTGAGCGCCCATGCTGCTTCAAACTGAGGCAACCAACGGTAAAAGTTAATCAAATAACAATGTAAAACGGAAAGTAGTGATCATTTGCATAAAAACAAAATGCAGCTACAACCAACCTGAAGTCTGGGGAAGTCATCCACTGAAAGAAACTGCACAATGCGAGGAACAACGCCAGATTGTATCACTTCTTGGATGGCGGGGTTGCGCTCTGCCAAAGCAACAACCATAAACAATAAAACTAGAGGAAGACCCGAGCCAAACTGTAAGAGCCATAAAAGAGTTGTCATATGAGACACTAACCAATTGAAAGCAATCTCTGGATGTAACTTGTAGCCACCAGTTGTGCATTACGATCCTCTGACCAAATTGCAGCTACCATATTTGGCAGATTTTTTAGCTGCGAATCCGATCAAAACCTTATGAAATAAAAAAGGATGCTCAAAACCAAGAGTAAGTATGTACCGCTCGAGCTATGGACTACTTGCAATTCCATTATTATGTCTCCGAGATGGTACTTTTGAAAGGTAGATAATGTACATACAGAACAACTTCTGATGGAGTATACCAAAGATTTTATGGTTCCAATTGAGATCTCAATCGGAGACCTCTAAACATAAACTGTACTGCTGAGACGAATTTCGGTTAATAATCTGAATAAGCAGGAGGTTTTCCATTCAATTATATGATAAAACTGCTTTTCCCTTACATCCTGATGTTCAAATGGAACAATACACAGACCTACTAGACACCGATCTGCTTGAATTTTAGCTGCAAAGCTTCCAAATCGACACCGAATACAGAAATTAAAGTAGTAAAACGTGAAATCTATCAGAGAAATGCGGAGCACATACTTTAGTTTTCAAATAATGGGAGGTCGGGAGCTCTTGACTTTGCTGCGCCGCCGTCAGTCCCTCACGCCGCTTCTTCTGCAAGTTTTCCTCCCTCTTGTTTTTCCGGATCTTAACCATGTTATCCTCTCGCCTCCGGCGACCCTCCTCCGCGTCGACCGCTACCTTGTACCGGTTCCGGCGAACCTCCGTCCTCGCGCTCGGTCTCAGAGACATCGTCGCTTCACCGATCAACAAAAGTTTTCCCGCGATCGGTACAGAGGACGATCGTTTGGAACTTTAATTGGATTGCGACTCGGATCCAGCGAGCGAAAAGACTAAGAGTAAGAACAAGGATTTTGGCGTAACGCGAGTATATGTATATATATTTACACGGTAGTCCCGTACGGTTTCTACGTTAATAACGGAATTGCCACGCGTTTTTAATTTGAACCTTAACGTCTCCCTACTGTTCCTCAAGAGAAGAAAGGAACGATTTATCATATTTTTATTTTAAGAAAATGATTATTTTAGAAGGCTTAGAGCCCAAACAACAAATGCAGCCCAATTTCAGCCCATTAAAGGAACAATTTTTTATTTTATTTTTGTTTGTTTTCAATTTATAATTTAGATTAGATTTCGATTAATTGATCCCACCAACGGATAAAGTAATGGTTATTCTTTTTATTTTATTAATTATGGAATAATTATATATATATGTATGTATAACAAATTCTCCGACAAAATCTTATAATACAAAAATTAGGTTAAATAAAATATATTAAATACGTAATGTTTTTTTTTTCATATTATACAATAGATGTTCTCAGTATCAAACAAAGCTCTACCCATAACAAATCTTAACTTGAATGTAATGAAATATAAATATAAATTTGTAGAAAGTGTAATAAAAACTTGACTTGCACGTAACAGAATGTGGCGAAACTGAGGAAAAACGAGTGTAGCAGAATGATCATACGCCATTACCAATGAGATCGCACTTTCTGGTGCATACGATCACTTTCTTCCACTTGAAGCTTCAGATTACTTCTCCTTTGGTAAATCAAATCTTTACCCACCTCACTTTTCCTATATATATATATATATATATATATATATATGTATATGTGTGTGTGTGTGTGCCGTGTGTGTTTATATATATACATACATATATATACTGTATTTCTGATTTCCGTGTGTGATGTCCGTTTGTGTTGCCTTCTCATCACTTCTGTCATAATTGTTTTTTTTTTTTTTTGGGGGTTCTTGACCGTAACGTATGATGAAAACAGGGGAAAACCAGGAAGAGAAGGAACGGGATGAAGGAGAAAATGCTGAGGAGAGAACCGATGATCAAACCGGGAAATACCGGTTTGGAAGAGCACTCGCGTGTAGACCGTTGTCCGGTTCGTCTGACGGCCGCCGGTTCGGAAACGGAAAGGTAAGAACCGGCGAAGCTAAACCGACTGTACCGAGTCGACTCAGCCGGGTTTCCGTCGCCGATGATGATTAGATTGCCGACGAAATAAAGGAGAAAAAAAGAAAATCGGAGTGTCTCTATTAGTTGGGGTGTTTTAACCCTAATAACCCACTTGGGTCGCAGCAATTTCAGGGTACACCACCGAAAAAAAAAAAAAAATTTGCGATCTTATTACGACTAATATATAACTAATATACAACTAAAATAAGAATAGTTTATTAGTCGTAATAAGTTGTATATTAGTTATATATTAGTCGTAATAAGGTCGCAAATTTTTTTTTTTTTTTCGGTGGTGTACACTGAAATTGCTGCGACCCAAGTGGGTTATTTGAGTAATATTCCCATTAGTTGGTCCGTCTCTTAAATTTCTTTAGAAAAAAAAAGAGGCTTTTGTACATGCGACTTTGTTGTATTGTGTTTATAAAAGATTGTAGTTTGGTTTACAAATATGGTTCAATCTATTGAAATAGAAACAAAATATGAATTTGATATGATTTATCTTATTGGGTTTCGTATTTTATTTTTCAATATTCTCTCCTCTTCCTCTTTTTTTTTCCCTATAAGGCGAGAGTAGAACAAATTTAAGTTAGTTTAACGAATATTGGTTCCAGTTTTTATATATATACACACACATGGATGCACCTATTTAATCTCCAATGGGGTCCTAAGCCTCGTAACTTCATTAAAAAATGTTAGTTTCCTTTATAAATTTTAAACAAAATTATCAAATGTCCCCAATAAAATTAAATTTTCTTTATAAAATTATATATACATTACTATGCCTTCAATTGTAAATTTTTTTGGATCCGTCATATATATATATATATATACCTAGTTCAATCATTATTTCGATTATAAAATATTGTTTGGAATTAGAAATACATGAATGTTAGCCGAATAATAATGTATAATAATGAAAAGATAGAGCATATGAACATGTATAAATTATCTCCTATACACATGTATAAATATCATTATCTACATTATAAAAAATGGTTCTTATAAAATACAAATTTTTAGATATAATTTTTGTATAATATGATGTAATACAAGTGTTAAGATTTGTAATTAAACTCTCATTTTTTCCCTTTGGATGAATAGTTAGTTCTCATTTGTTAATGATTTTTTAGGGTTGTAGTTAATTGCGTATACGGCCTTAATTAGTTGAGAAAATCACAAGAAAGTACCTGAATCTATTTTAATAAATTCACAAAAACACATATATATATATATATATATATATGTGTGTGTGTGTATATTTCTCCCAAATCCAAAACAAATGAACGGATCGGACACGGCTTCGGATTCGGTCGATAGAACTAAAATATTAATCGGAGCAGCCGCAATTACAATATGATCCAACAATGATCCGTCAACTAAACTAATAACAAAACCTTCTCTCTTAAGCTTACATTTCTGTTTTTTTAATTATTATTATTACAACGAAGGTTCCAAATAATCTTTTTAATCTCTCTATAATAAAGTCTAATAATCAACCGAATTACACAACACAATAATAGATTAATTTATTAATAATTTAAGTATTGACCCGGAATGATTGGGTATCTGATGGAATCAAAGACCGACGGCTTTTTCTTTTCTTCTGTTCATGGGTAAAGGTTGAATAAATTAACACAATGAATCCATGAGTATGTCTTATCTTTATAATTATCTCCTTAATTTTAGCAGCCGATTTCACAAAAACACGCCCTTATGTGTTATAAAAGATAATTTTTTAGAAAGTGAATATTTTTTTATTATAAAAGATGGAATGTCTTGTGAAAAAGTTACTTATACTAATGATATACAAACGAATAGCTGATCGTAGCCGAAAATAAATTATACAAAATAAAAATGCGTAAGCAACAAAAAGAGTTTTGAGAATAAATAAATAAATAAATAAATAAATAAATAATGGCTGACACATGAGAACAAAAGGGGAGAAAACGGCAAACACAGCTCAGATCCTGTCCCGCGTACAGCCGCCTCGGTGTCCCATCCCACCGCCCACTACATGAATTTTCCTCTTTAATTAATTAATCTTAGAAATCACAATCTGTTTCTTTGTATTTTCCATGTAAAAACATTTAGCGTCAAATTTCCGTAAACGGTAAATACATCGAATATTTTAAAATAAAACTAAGTAAAAAAACGGTTTCACTGTTCGTGTACCTTTTTTTTTTCCCGTGATTCTTAATTACACGCTTAATCGTCTAGAAACGTATTTACATTTTAATCGTAAGCTAAACGTTAATTTAACATTGGAGATAAAAGGAAACGTGAAAAGTTATCTTTGGACAATAAATAACGTAAGATAATCTCTCTCTCTCCGCGTTGCCCAAACCGCGAACAGCAAGCAAAAGGTGCTTGCTTTGTTGTGTGTGTGTGTGTGTATATATATATTTTGATGAAATGTGTGTGTGTGTGTGTGTATATAAACAAGTGCCCACCACTGCCACCTTCAACAACAACCAAACACACAGGAAAAAAGGGATTGTCGATAATCGAAAACCCATCTCAGATTTCAAACTTAATCGTGTGTTCATCTCCACAAAAACATATATCGAAAGCAACATGGGGAAGACGAAGAAAGGCGGCACAGCACAAAGGGCATGGAGCATATTGAGAATGGCGCTGCTATGGGCGAGAAAAGGAGGCATTTTCAAGAGATGGACCATGCTCGAGCTCCGTAGCTTTGTCCCGAGATATCTCAAAACCCTCCCCCATCATCATCATCATCATCCGTCCTATCTTTCCCGTTACGGAGAACGAGAGCTCTCCTTCGATGAAACCCCCATGTTCCACGTCAAGATGCACCGCCCTGCTTCCATGAGGTTCCTCCTTCCTTGCATTACCCCTCATGAGATCGACTTCGACTGCGATTTCGACGGTCAGGATGATGATCCTGTTGACGTCGGTTCCTACGGCTACGATGGTAACGCCGTCAAGGAAGAGGACGAAAACGGGATTGATGTGAGAGCTGAGGAGTTCATCGCTAAGTTCTATGAACAGATCAAGTTGCAGAGGCAGATTTCGTTTCTTCAGTACAAAGAATCCATTACAGACGATGATGATGAATTATGAACGAAGTTCGAAACAAGAAGGTTGCATTGAATCTTGGTTCTGTAGATAGTCAAAAGGGTTGCTGAGAAGATATCGTCTGGAGCTGTCCATTCAATTTTTTTTAATTTCTTTTTCATTCGTTCAATTTTGTGGAATTTAATTTCTTATTACAATTTTCCCCTATTTACATGTGTAATTCGGATTTTTATTAGTTCCATTTCTATCATTTTACCCGATGTCCATTTCCGTCATTATAAATCAACCATATAATATTTAAAAATCAATATAAGGCCCATTAAGAAACTCTGTCCAATTCGGCCCAAAATAAAATAAATCAGAACTGTTCGTTTCACCGTTCCTTTCTCTCGGTTCCTTAACATCACCATCACCGATTGTGTATTTGCCTTAGGCATCTCCGTGGCTTCTTTCCCGAAATCTCAACAGCAAAGATCGGATTTTAGAACTACCCTTTATTTCTTTGGAAGCTTTTACCATCGAAAGCTTGCTCCTTTATCTTTTTCGTTGCGATAATGGGTCCCGGTTCGAGCTCTCCGTCGGCGAGAACGGGTCCGGAATCAAGCCCGGTGTCGGCGTCTACTGCATCGCCGAGCGGCAAACGAAGCAGAGATCCCGAGGACGAGGTCTACCTCGACAACCTTCGCTCTCACAAGCGTTATCTCAGCGAGGTGAAGATTATTTTCTCCTGTTCTTCCGCTTTCTGCAATTTTCCTTTTTTTATTGTTGCCCCTATAATTCAATTACTCAGTATTTTATTCAATGCCCAATACGTTTTAATCGCATTCTGCCCTTTGATTATTCCGACGGTGGCGATGTTTAATCAGATATGTTTCCTGCGATTTGTCGTCCCGGGTGTCACATTCTCAGCTCCTTGTGCAGTTTCTTGTCCAAATTATCCATTCCTCCATCGTTTTCTTGGCGTTTATTCAGTGGACGCAGGAAAAGTCTCGCACTATATCTAACTCTGTCGAGTCAGTGTCACTATTTCTGCGGCATCCCAAGTTTTTTTTTTAATGTTTTGTCACGAACAACTGTCAAATAGCTGGGAGCTTTGTATGTTCTTCCTATGACATTTTGGGACATTGTAAACTCTTGGGCGTAGATAATGGCGTTCAGCTTGAACGGACTAACAGTTGGAGATCCACTTCACGAAAACATCATGGAGTCTCCGGCACGGTCGGATAGCTTGCTCTATCCCAGGTTTCCTTCCTATGATCTGCTTTTTTCTCCGAGTAGAAGAACTTTAAAGACTTAGAGCTGCTGCTTAGAAACTCAAAATGGAACATAAATCTTGAGACGATACGCTTTTGTGAAGAAATCTGATTATTGTCTTGCTATTTGAAATGTTAAGGAAAGAGGTAGAACTATAATTGAGGCAATGGAATGTGAAATAGATTCTGAATAGAGATTGGATTCTTAGGCATCTCACTGTTTCTCAAAGTGTTCTATTGTTTTGCTGACACTTTCATCTTATAACAGGCAGTAGGAGATTGATGTTCTCTGTGTTTGAAATGATATGCTTATTCTCTCTATGGAACTAAGGAGAAAGCTGGGACTTTAGCTTTGATTTGTTTTTCATACACTTGTAATGTGGTTTTACTTTGAGAATGTAGCCATATCTGATGAGATTGCCCGGTTTCTGCAGGGACGACTTAGCACTACAATACTCGCCCATGTCAGAAGACTCGGAAGATGCGAGATTTTGCGAGTACCCAACAAGCACTTGTTCATCCCAACCCGAGAGTCGACCTACTAGCCCCGTTTCTCCATACCGATACCCGAGACCTCTCCCTGCAAATTCACCGCATCCGTCATCACATACAAGCACTACAGTTGCATCCACTTCACAGCCTCGTCAAAGAGGCTCTGACACAGAAGGAAGGTTCCCTTCATCGCCTAGCGATATCTGCCACTCAGGCGACCTGAGAAGAGCCGCTCTGTTGCGGTCTGTGCAAATGAGGGCACAGCCTTCAGGCCATGGCTCAGGTTCTGCACCGAATATGGATGGGGAAGATCGGTTGTGTTTCAAGCCACTGGATGATGATCGGGACTACAGAGGAGATGATTTTTCTCACAGGGCTGTCTCTGATGCCCAATCTAATAGAAGCAAGTCGCGTAAAGCTTTGGACATGACTGTCAAAGGAGATGAGCCCTTCGACTACTAAGTCCAGCGTAAATTATATTATGGAGGAGAATTCTATATGTAAACATCTACCCTCTTAAATTTCATTTTCCACAGCAAATAAATGGTGAATGTTCAGAAAGTTGAAAGCTTTCGCCATTTTAGGTGAGGACTTCGAGATTTGGTATGCTCTCAGCAGCACCCATGATGCCTAGCATAAGCCAAGAGATAGATATAGGGTGTTTGACGGAGGAAATGGCTATTTGAGATGTGTAGAAAAACATATTTCATTTCACTGGAATCTGAAGGTTACGTGATTTACAAGTAATCTAAATTCAAAAAACCAGCTCATACGGTCTTATTCTAAGAAAGACAGGCTAAATTCGCATATGGCATTGAAATGGCCTCCTAATGTATCTGATGGTGTTCAAAACTTCCAACCCTAAAAGAGGTTTAAGGGTGAAAAGTTCACTCTTGCATTGCTAGCTTCTCTTCATCGACATCAAATGCTTTCCGAGCTTGTTTCAGCTCCTCTTGCATTGCCAACAGTTCTCTGCAACGGTTTAGTTTCGGCAGATCCTACGCCATAACCAGTCAGGTGACAAAAGCTTTTCAGTGAATCCATTTGTTTGTTACTCCAAGCAAAATGAAAGCCAAGTCCTGCCTACAAAGAACAGTGCAAGGAATAGCTAAAAGAGGTACCTTGCGGATTAGATACAAGAAATCGTCAACTAGTAGCTTGCCCCGCTTTGAGCCAATGTCTTGTGCCTTGTGTGTCTACAACGAATGAACCGTCAATTGATTAACCTAATGCCCACTTATCTATATTATCAATGGGTAAGACGAGTCATGGCAGGAGCGGTTACCAAATCCGTAACATATTCCACGACAATGTCTTCTACAAGTGCCACGCTCTCCGGAAGAGGCTACATATGTAGCGTAAAAGTTTATACAGTAAAACACTGCATCAGTTCCATTTACAAAACAAAGTTCCGTCTGAAGCGGGTATTCCTAGTTATGTTTACCTATACCCGTAAAAACCTTCGAAGCAAAAACCTAACATGGCGAACACAACATAGCTCAGTTATTACTCAAGGCATCCTAGCAGCAAGAAACCATTACAGTTCTATTCAGAAAGAGAATCCTAGCAGCAAAGCTAGGCTAAGGGAAACAGCTCTTTTCAAGTGTAATGCTAAATAAATGAATTAGTAATCAGGACGGATGAAACTATAAGGGGAAATAAAGAAAGATACTTCAGAGAAGAACTTACGTTTGGATCATCGCCAAATCCGTACATCATGTGCTGCACTGAAACATCAAACAAGATTAATGTAAGAAAGTAGAAGCTCAAGTGGAAAATATACCAGAGCAAAAGAAGTCATCGTTTTGCGTTTCTACTGAAGAAAAATATCCTTACATTCTTTCTGAAAGACTCCACGTTTGCGCTTGGACGAGGTTTCGGGCGTCTGGGAGGATCCGGCGGCTTTTGATTTCGACGTTGCCGCCGTTGATGGATTGCTCATGCTCTACAGCAACAAAGATTCGATTTTCACAGAGACCCACAAGGCGAACCAAGGTAAATTCGAGAAACAAACAAAATCACCCCCAAGATAACGACTACAAATCTATAATGCCCTAGGGTTAGGGAGAGTGCACTCCGAAAACAGAGAATTTTAGGTTAGAATCAACAGAACCGAGAATCGAATTCACCACACAGAATCCGTTTTCAGATCGATTCAGGCGAAATCGAATCAAGAGAACCACAGGACGGTGGCACTAGGGCTCCGACCGATCATTCCCATTGGCAGGATATGCGAGAAGAACGGAGAGCAGTCTGAGATGAAAAGGGAAAGGATATCAAATTACCGGAGAATGACGTAGAACTTGTTCGGCAGCGGCGTGAAATGACGAATCGGCGACAAGAGGAAAGAAACCGGAATGGCTAGGGGTTTTAACCCTAATAACCCACTTGGGTCGCAGCAATTTCAGGGTACACCACCCAGAAAAAAAAAAAATTTTGCGACCTTATTACGACTAATATATAACTAATATACAACTAAAATAAGAGTAGTTTGTTAGTCGTAATAGGTTGTATATTAGTTATATATTAGTCGTAATAAGGTCGCAAAATTTTTTTTTTTTTCGGTGGTGTACACTGAAATTGCTGCGACCCAAGTGGGTTATTTGAGTAATATTCCCGAATGGCTATGCAAGAAGAAACCAAGAGTATGCACATTGCACACTCTCTCATCGTTATATTGGATTTTACCCCGTATAATTATAAATATTACACTCTTGCACAAAACTTTCATATTATCAATTAGGACCTAAATCATAGACCGACCCGATTTCAAATAACGGAGATCGGTGCATGAATATTAAAATTAGAATGGCCCTCGACTGGTCAACGTTATAATAATATCATGCATAAGTGAATCTAACATTCCTTTTGTATATTTTTTTATAACTAGATATCATAGATCAAATTCCAAATTAATTTTGGAATAAAAACCATCTAAATAATTTGGAATACACGTATTCTCTCCAAATTTGAAATTTAAATTTGAAACGAGATAGTATTTTGTATCTCTATCTTACCGGTTAAATTATCTAAATTTAGATAACGTCTATATTTTTTTAACAGTCAAATTTCGGCATGAAAATAAATATGGTTTATGATAAGAACTCGCTCATGGAATTGGATACGAAAATGGGAAACTTCCTAGATTTCGTGGATTGGATCAAATAGCAAGAGAGACACGAAATCGCGTGAGCATCTTCCGACAAAATGGGAAGAAGACAAGTATCTTGTAAGTGGCAGAACACAAAATCCTCGGGACACGTCACATGCGTCGTCCACCTAATCCGTCGAAAGCTGAGATGAAGTAAGACATCCAACGTGGCATTTCCCCAACTATATCCCACCGAAATTATCAATGTAAATAAAAAATATTATTATTATTATTTATTTATATTTAAATAGTATTTGACGAAATTTCCTTTGCCGTAACCAGCAATTGTTCTCCCACTGTCGATTGGGGGACACGCGTTCTACGGATAACTCACGCACGCTCTTGGTACACGTCTGTCGATGCATGCGACAACGATGACAATCTACGACGTCGTTTTCTTGTTCTTTCTCTCGATTAATAAAATAATATATTAATTTTCGTCAAAAAGGCCCCATTTTCTTTATTTATGTTTTCCTTTTAAGAAAGGGCAAAAAATAAGAGATTCAAAAAAGGTCTTGAGGACGTTGCCTTGGCCATCTGTTCGGCTGTCAAGATTTTCTTCTAATTTCTCTCTCTGCTCTGTTTTCTAATTCTTTTGCCGAAAAGACATTTCATCGATTCAAAGATTTTCCTTTTTCTTTTATTTTTGTTTCGTGAAGAACATTGTTGTGAAGAACCCAGAAGAAGACATTGCTGAAAGGAGAGGACGTACAAAAAAATGGATACTTTGTGTTTGAATACGACCGTTCACGGCGTAGTTCCGCCGATCACGGCGTCTAGCGGCGGAGGAGTGGTCGAGGTGCGAGCCAGCTCCGTCGGGCGACCCACGAGGGATAAACCGTCGCAGAAAATAGGGCCTTTTGGGTTCTCGTTCAAGTACCCATTGACGCCGTTCTGGTCCGGAGGAGGTGCCAAGTCTCGGCGGCGGAGCGGGCTGGCTCTCGACGACGCCGTCTTGGTGAATTCTGGCGATTCGAGGAGGCCCGTCGCGGAGGAGAAGGACGCAAGCAACACGTCGGCGACGGCGGCGGAGGCGGAGGGGCATGACGGGAATTGGGTTTTGAAGATCTTGCAAGTCCGATCTATGTGGAGGGACGACGAGAGGAAGAACAACGGCGAAGATGTAAAGGATGAGGAGGAGGAGGAGGAGGAAGAAGAAGAAGAAGAACTAGAGGAAATAGATAATGCCGTATCGTGCGTTGATGGTGAGGAATTTGATGTATGCTCAGTTGAGAACGATGATGATGAAGAGAAGAAATTTCAGTTTGATAGAGAATCGTTTTCGAGATTGCTGAAGAGGGTTTCGTTAAACGAAGCGAAACGCTATGCCCAGTTGTCATATTTGGGAAGCCTGGCTTATTCAGTTTCGAAAATCAAGGTTGCTACTCTGTAAATTCCATCCATTCCTCGTACATTTTCAGCTTATTTATCTTCATTAGATCTCTTGGTTGAAATCCGGAAATGGGTTAAGATATTACAGTCTGATGATCTTCGGAAAGTTTGGGTTTTTGGAAGATTTCTAAGGTTTTATGTCAGAATTTGCGTAGTTTAGGCCTAAAGATTCGGCTACTGACAGAAGCAAAGTCTTGAACTTTGTCTCGATTTCTGAAATCAAGAGTTCCAATCAATTATGGGCACTCTGTGTTTTTGTAGCTGCATTGTTATTTCTGGTAGCGATTTGACTAATTTAAGGGTGAATTCTCATCTGTTAACTCTCATAGTTTTTGGCATTTACACAGCCGGCGAATCTGTTGAAGTATCAGGGCCTGAGGTTTGTAACTTCCTCAGCTGAGAAACGGGAACTCGCTTTGAAGACGGACCAAAAGGATACGGACCAAAAGGATGATTCAGCTGAGACCCGAGAAGACAAGACTGCGCAAAGAGAGGAAGAAACCGAAGCTGAAGCCAAAGAGCAAGGGAACACAGGTTACGGAATCAGTGCTGCTGCTGCATATGAGATAGCTGCCTCTGCTGCATCTTACTTGCAATCTCATACAAAGAGCATCCTCCCTTTCACATCTTCAACCGGCAAGAAGAATTCACAGACTGCGGGTTTCGGAGATATGGATCTCCTAGGTCATGATGTTGCTTCCCTGATGACCACGACCAACTCAGTGACTGCAGTTGTAGCTGCTGAGGAAGATGTGAAGCAGGCAGTTGCTGACGATTTGAAATCGATGCACTGGTCTCCATGTGATTGGTTCATTTGCGACGATGATCAGAGCCACACGAGATTCTTCGTGATTCAGGTAAAGCAAAAGATGTATAGCCGATGATGTCTTATATTTTGCTCGTTTGTGCTTTCTCTGTGTTGATCGGAATGAGGAAATTGTGTAGGGATCTGAATCACTGGCCTCGTGGCAGGCAAACCTATTGTTCGAACCTATTGAATTCGAGGTAACATCTTCTTCTATGCACTCTGTGCCTGTTCCTGGAATGAATTCGGAGTTTACAAGTCCATTTTTTTGAGATTTTGTTCGGTTTCTTGCTTAGGGGTTTGATGTCCTCGTTCACAGAGGCATATACGAGGGTGCAAAAGGGATGTATGAACAAATGTTACCCGAAGTCCGAGCTCATTTCAAAACCCACGGAAACCGTTCTAAGTTTCGTTTCACGGGCCATTCTTTGGGCGGAAGCTTGTCACTCTTGCTGAACCTCATGCTGCTTATACGGGGAGAAGTACCGGCTTCTTCCCTACTTCCCGTTATAACGTTTGGTGCACCGTTCATAATGTGTGGAGGTGATCGTCTTCTCAGTAAACTCGGATTGCCTAAGAGCTATGTTCGGGCTATCACAATGCACCGTGATATTGTTCCGAGGGCGTTTTCTTGTAGTTATCCAGAGCATGTAGCCAAGCTTTTGAAAGCTGTCAATGGAAACTTCCGGAGTCATCCTTGTCTTAACAAGCAGGTACAGATCCTCCTCCATTGCTATTGGACCAGACAGTATATTGATGAAAACATATGATACTTAACAGTTAAAATGTGCAGAGTGTGTTATACGTTCCAATGGGTGAGCTTTTGATTCTTCAACCGGATGCGAAATTCTCTCCCCACCACGATCTACTCCCTCCAGGAAACGGTCTTTATGTCCTAACGGGCTCGTTGTCCGACATGGAAGAAGCGACGAAACAGCTAAGAGCGGCTCAGGCAGTCTTCCTAAACTCGCCACACCCTCTGGAGATTCTCGGCGACAGATCTGCTTATGGGTCAGGAGGAACCATCCAACGCGACCACGACATGAACTCTTACCTCAAATCAGTCAGAAGCGTAATAAGGAAAGAAGTGAACCGTTTAAGGAAGGCGAGGAGAGGGCAGGGCCGCAGTATCTGGTGGCCAATCCTGGTGGGTCAGGACCGAGACCGAGTCAACTCGGGGATCGTGATCAGAGGGAGGCAGCAGACGAACAGTCAGGATTTCTCGGGGATGATGAAGACCGGGAGAGAATCGGTCAGACGGTTCAGTAGGCTGGTGGCATCGCAGCATATGCATCTGATCGTCGTCCTCTTGTTCCCAGTTAAGTTGCTGTTCCTCGGAGCGTAGGATATCTTCAGTTTCCGTTAATTCAGGTGGGTTTTTGTCGTGTAGCGGTTCAAACCGGGTCGGTATGACCGGTTTAGCTTATTCTTTATTCAATTGTTACTTGTAATTAGATAGCCATTGTTTCCCGGTCTTGGGCGACGATTTGTTGGAAGAACAGTACAAATGATACAAACAAATGTCGAATACTCTCAAATATTAATAAAAAAAAACTCGATTGTTTGGTTCGTATTGAGAAATTAGATGGTTAATTGGTTTGTACCGGTCCGGTTTCGTATTATATGCATCCGGGGTGTTGATATGAATGAATTTAAATATCTAGTATTTAACGGGGTTGGAAAACAATAACGATAGGGATTGATTTTTATGGAATACCAACATCATTGATTATTTAGCAAATGATATAATTGTTATCATTATTAATTGTAGTCATGATTTTTCAGAGAACTCTACCTTGGATTTTTTTTTTTTTGAAACGACAATAAAATAAAAGTAAATGGAAAATATGAAAAACAAGTTTTTTTTTTTTTTAACAACAGAAAACGATAGTGTTGAGTTGTCAAAAGCTGGGCCAATCGACTTTGATGTCTATCCGTCCAACAAAGCACGAAGCACAAATTTCAAAATAATAAATAAAATTCATTGGATATTCGATTTTTTTTTTACGTATATTAACAAAACCGATATAATCGTGAATTTTGTGCCAATTGAATCTTTTAACAAAACCGATTTAAGACTTCAACCAACAAAAAAATATTTACTGTAAGAAATTACAAAAGGTTGAACCTTTTTCATTATTACAACTAAAGGCCCCAAAGATGTGTTTTTTTTTCAGGAATCAATATCCGTTCTTACGAACTTACCCATACAAATTTTCACATCAAACGTCAAAGTGAAACAGATTATTATGTTCTGTCTTTTTAAAAAAAAAAAAATCAAAAATCAATCTTTTATCAAATTTGTTTCCTCCCACCAAGAATGAGCCGAAAGAGTCTTTTTAAGACTTGATGACCCCAAGAATAGAGGCTTGAAGCGACACCGTATGGGTGGCGTCTCCGATATGAATGTTGTGATCCCCGATCGGAATTCTTCGAACCCCGGCCCTGTCCACTACGCTCAGATACTTACACACGTGTATATTTATCGGCACCCGCTTCTTCTCTCCTGCCGCCACGTGTACCCTCTCGAAAGCCACCAGCTGTCTGTGTGGAGCCCAGCGTCCAGCCGGCGGAGCCGAGAACACGAGCATCGTGTGGGTCCCGTCTCTGGATCCCACGTTCTTGACGTCCACGTGGACGCCGAGGGAGAGACGGCTACACTTGGCGTGGGTGACTCGTACGGCCTTCCCGGAAACGGTGCCGTTTCGGCCGCGGCCGTGAAGCGCGATGGGAAGAACCCTGGGCGCGTCGGCGATGGTGTGGGTGAAGCGGGTGTAGCTCAAGCCGTGACCGAACGGGTAAACCACCGGTCCTTTGTAGAACCGGTAGGTCCGACCCGGGAACCGCTTCGACTGGCTCGGTCTCATCGACATCTCCGTCATTGGGAGGTTCGCTAGATATTCTTGTGGGTACCATGTCATCGGCAATTTCCCTCCTAATAAATCGACAAAAAAAAACTAAAATTATAATCGGATTGAAAATGTATCTTCGAATATGGATGAACCGTGAACGAACCGGGGTTTGCAGAACCGAACAAGATATCGGCAATGGCGGCTCCACCGGCCTGACCGGGATAACCGGCCCAGATGATGGCGGGAATTTTGGGGTCGTTTTGTGCGAAAGAGACGTCGATGGGCCCACCGGACATCAAGACGAGAACTACTGGGCCTTTAGAAGCGGACACAACTCTAGAGACAAGATCTTGTTGTTTGCCAGGCAAGAGTATACTGTCACGGTCTCTGAACTCGGCTTCGATGGATTGGTCTAGTCCGAGTACGAGGACCGTCGCATCAGCCTCACGAGCCGCTTTGACCGCGCCGTCGAACAACCTATCGTCCGTACAGTGTACGTCGACGCAACCCATCTGATGAATCGTTCTGGCGTACGCGTTTATTCCTTGAACCGGACTTGTATATCCACATGCAATACCTGATAACAAAAAAAGGGGAACAAACTCGATTATAAAGAGCTTAAATTCAGGTAACGTTGATGAAGAAATGGGCAAAAAGGCGAGCTATTTGAACGCACCGGCATAGTTACCGATCATAGTGACAGTGGCGTTTGAATTAGGTCCGATGACCGCAACGGTACGGTGACGACGGCGGGAGAGAGGAAGAGATGGGCCGTCGTTCTTGAGTAGAACGATGCCTTGACGAGCTGCTTCATGGGCCAGTTCTTGATGGGCCTTTGTACAAACATGGGCCGGCCCAAGATGACCGTACGGTTGGGCTGAAGGCTCGCCGTCGAACATGCCCAACCTCATTTGGACAGTTAGTGTGTTGGTCAAGGCATTGTTCACATCCAATTCACTCAACAAGCCCTTTTTTACCGCATCAGTTGTATGAGCTCCCAAAAATGGCCCACAGTCCAAGTCCAAGCCTTTACAGGTAAATAGTAAAATGAGGTTTAAATCCATACATACATACATACATACATATGGATGGAATTGAGATCGAAAGAGAAATTGATACCAGCTTTGATGGCATCAGCAGCGGCTTCTTCAGGCGTTCCGGTGTAATGTTGTGTATTGTAGAAAACCCCGACAGAATCACAATCAGAGACAATGTACCTACCAATTTCACATTTCGATCAACCATACTCACGTATCAATTTATTTCAAATATATTTCAGATAACACACACACACAAAAAAAAAAATCGAATCTTGAGTTTTACCCGTTGAGACCCCATTGGGACCGTACGGTCTTCTTCAATAGATTCGGGTCGGCACATGTCGGAACGCCGTTAACTTGGTTGTACGAACACATAACGCTCGCAACGTTCCCTTCTTTCACGCACATCCTGAACGGTACGTCGAACGTGTCCTCTATGTCTTGCTTGCTCACCTTCGCATTCACCCACGTGCCGCTCACGTGAGGTAAAATCTTTAAACCTTTAAAGAACAAAAAAATAAAAAAAGTTGAATCTTAACCTTGGCGTTGAAATGGAACCTGTCGACGCCGTTCCAGTTGTCGAGATCATAGGCGGTGAAGTGTTTGCAGCAGGCTGCGACTTTCAACCGGTTACCGTCGGTTCCCTGTAAACCTCGGACGTAGCTGGCGGCGTATTTACCGGCGACGACGGGATCTTCACCGGGAGTTTCCTGTCCACGTCCCCAACGTGGGTCCCGCAATATGTTCACGTTTGGGCTCCAGTAAGTTAGCCCGCCCACTCCCCCGTTGTACATGGCCCTCGCCTCGTCCGACACTACCTGCGCACCCCTCGTGCGTAGTTTAGCCATCATGCTATTGTCGTTGTTAAAATGCGCCTAAATGTCCTTTTCATCGGTTGGTGTTTTCTATTGGACCAATCATACCAACTTTTTTTTTTTTGGTGAAACCAATCATACCAACTTGTTGCCTCGTTTCGGAAAAAAAAATGGCAGGCTACGCTCTAGACCCGTTTCTGTCCTTTTTCCTTTTTGTAAAACATATATAATAATATAATCACTACTATAATAAAATAAAATAACCATTTTATAGACTTCGCCCATATTATATACATTGGTTTTATGAATGGGACAGAATGGCATAAGAATATTATCACCGAAAATACTTCCTTCAACTTTTAATTTGAAACAGCTGATAAATAAATATATATATTAAATAAGAAATTTTTATTGGCGTAGGTTAAAAGATTCGTTGCCTACGTTATTTGCATGAACGACCAGACGAATCGGAACAACAAAACGGGGAAAATAAAAATATCACCGATTAAATAACCAAAATAATATTATTTTACTGAAGAGAAAAAAAAGCTTTGCTTCTAGGCCCACTAAAACTATTCCGATTCAGATCGCACGACAGAACAAATACACGAATACACATTCACATCGGCATATACACCTATACACGCATATCTATGCACAAGACACATATATCTTATGATTTTGTAATGCACTTTTTACTATTTGTGCCACTATATAATTATCTCATTTCTTAAAACTCTTTACGTCTCAAAACCAGTCCATCCAAAATCATTAAATCTCAAATTCGGGAAAAAAATTAGTGAGTAAAAGATAGAAAAAAAAAAAAGGAAAGAGATAATAAATTCTTTTTTTTTTTTCAAAGCATAGTAAAAGATAGAAAAAAAAAATCTGACCCGTCCGATGGACTCCCACAATGAGGCATTGAAGGAAGCAACGGTGGTGATGACTTGAGGGAAGCTGGTGGCGGCAGGGTAGGCCCCACCGAACTTGGTGCCTGGGCCCACGTTGGAGACCCCGTGAAGAGCCTCCGACCACCACTCGTACCCTTTTATCCCCAGCCTCGGAACCGCCGCCGCATTGTTCACCAACAGGCTCACTTTCTCGGCCAACGTCAGCCGTCCGATCAAATCCTTGACTCTCTCCCCTGTCGGGACCGACGGCTCGCAGAACCTCAACCCCACCGTAGCCGCGTCCTTTGGATCGCAGGCGAACGGGGCTCGGCCGCTGACGTGGACGCCGAGAAAGAGTGCAACGAGCACAATGGCCAATAGCTTCTTATGGGAACCCATTCCTTTGGTTTGGGGAGAGAGATGAAAATGTGAGTTTGAGGAATGTGAGCGTGAAGTTTGGGTGTATATATAGAGCGAGTTCGTGTAGTGATTATGCAAGGGAACTGCCTATTTTCATGATTTTATTTAATCATGACGTGGAAATGTATCCACGCAAATAAGTTGGGTTTGGTCTTGTAAATGAATTTCTCAATATGTGTGTGTGTATATATATATATTGTGTTGAAAATATTCAAATTAATATAAATGTAATTAAAAATGTATAATGTTTCAACATCCTTTTTTCAATTTAAATTACTTAATTAAGGATGGGGGAAGGCAAGTTGCAAGAATTTCATGAGTGAATTTACCTGCCATTTTGGATTGCAAGATTCCAACGTGGAAGACAGTTGTGACCGAACGGGTCCCACGTCGGATTCGTTTCTATGTCGTGACTGACCCGAGAGATCTAAGAGTTTTATTACGTGATCTTATTAACAAAATTAACTATAATATAAATTGTCCGACACATATATATACACACACTATAACCACATAATAAATTAAATTAGTAGTTTCCTAATGTTAGCTTATCTTATTAAGTATATTACAACAATTTATATTAAGTATATTACAACAATTTTGTTATAATATACTTAATATATCTTTGAAATTATCTGTTCCCTCATCCCTTCCACTTGCAGGTAGCAAAGTTAACTTCGCTTGCAAGAGATGCCAACCGATGAATTTCCTCTCTCTCTCTCTCTCTCTCTCTCTCTCTCTCTCTCTCTCTCTCTCTCTCTCTCTCTCTCTTGTTTTTTAAATTTATTTTTTTGCTCTTTTCGTTATGTGGCCGGTGAAGTGGAGTTTCATTATATTATATATATATATATATATATAACGTGGTGTATATATACAAGGGATCTTCTAATATTTATTAGCTCTTAATCACGAGAAAGGGGGAACACAAATTCGGTTTAAACATCAAATTCTCATGGGTTACAGCCTCTGCAAATTTTGGTTGCTTTCCCTAGTTGGGAAAGTTTCTTTATTCATATTCATTTTGTTCATCTATGGGAAATTAATATTCAAATTCATTTTATTCATAAGGATTTATAGATCGTGCAAGCACGAGCCACACACATGAAAGATATTTGGAAATCAAATTTAACTCAAGATGGATCCATTGAATTTTCACTCGATCGAGAGTAAAACTGTGCGCATATTTTAAAGATGAAATTATTTTTTTCGAATGAAATTAACGAAGAAGAAATTGAAGTAATCAATTAAAATCTCTAAATAAAAAAGGGGGCGGAGGAAGTATGGGCCACAGTGTCGGGGCGGACCACAACTTGTGTAATCCGACACTCTATTGGCTCTCATCAGCGGCGTTCCAGTTCATATATTTTTATTATTTTCAAAAATCGGGTGTTAGAATTCAAAAAAATTTGCATTTTCAACGCTTTAAATAAAAATATATTAAAATTTTGTTTTTATGGATGAAGATTTCTTGATTTCTTTACACGAGAAAGTGGGGAAATCCACAGCCAACTTGCTTTTATTTTATATTTCTGTTATACAATGGATTAATAATTTTAGATTTTGTTATCGTTTTCTTCATAAAGGACCGGTACGATCTTTTTGCTTTTATATTTGGACCATTCGTCTTCTTTCTCCCTGATTTTGTATTATGTTATGTTTTGCATGTCTGATTTGTATCTATTTTACATCGATCTTAAAAGTAACCCAAACAAAAAACTCAGAGACGTATCCATAAGCAAACGGATCCCCGATTATCTGACGTGGCGCTTGCGTGCCAGCGTGGGCAATGGATCTCGCATGATGAATACCCGTTTCGCATAATTTTTCGCATTTTAAAACAAATAAGTGTATCTGTACATGTTTTCGTTGCTGGATCGTCACAGCATATAAAGGAGGTGGAGCTGCGGGTGGGGTTGCAGAGGGAATGATGAACGTGACGAACCAAATAAATAAAAGGAAATGATTAATTCGTCGTACGTTATATTTATATATGCAAGCTAAGCTCTGTTCCACCTGATTTCATAATTCCCCATCATATTATTCCAACAAATATCTTTTGTAAATTTTTTTTTTTTCCAAATATGTGAACCCGACACCGAACATAAAAACTGGTCATCTTTTAGTTAGAAGAACATCGAAGGGAGATCATAAGTCACGTGACACATTATGATCCTTGCTAGAATCGGACCAACTTATACGTTTTAATAAACACCGGTATTAAATAATCCATAGCATAAAATCATTTTCCAAACCCCAAACCACACCAAAGACAAGATCAAATATTTTGACAATTATTTGAATCTTCCTTTTTGTTTTTATTAATACCATTGAAAAAAAAAATCATTAGTAAAATTTTCCCATGCATATGTGTTTGTAAAAGGAGAAATAATCCAAGAAGCCGTAGGCTAGTGGTTGTAGCTCTTGTTGTAGAAAAGTTGTCTTCCGGTTTAGGATAAATTTAATTTTTAGTTGGGTCGAAAGTATAATGAACCAAATTAAATAAAAAAAAAACAAATAGAAACGATTGATTGAAGATAAAGCAAAGGATATAAATTAAAAGGATATATATATATATATGTATTATTGAACAGAAGAATTAAAGGATTTGGTTCTCCATGGCCATTATGATTGTGACATTATTAGCGGATAAGATCTGTTGTCTAACTATTTTCCGAAAAGTGTAAAAACGAAATAATATACAAATTAATGGTTATTGTTTTAAGAAAAGATGCGATGGAAAATGGGGGAAAAGGTGGCGATGCTTCCCTACAGAGTGGGCGACGTCCTTATCCACTCCGTGGATTTCAACAATGGCATAGCGATTTTACGTTATCCATTTATAGGTTTTCTTGGATAATGAAATGAAACCGAGAATTTCCAATCAACATGCATACACATATATACAGAGCCGTCCCGATGGATTCGGAGGCCCCGTACAAAATAATTTTTTATTTTTATTTTTTAATAAAAATATTAAATAAATTTTTTAATTATATTAATTGATAAATTAAATGTTAAAAAGACACAAACATAACTCAAAAATTATAAATATTAATGATAATAATTACGAAACTTTATGTTAAATATAATTTTAATTATTTATCATATTTATATTAATAAATATAATTACAAATTATTAGTATTTAAAATTTCTTTTTTAAATGTGGGGCCTATCAAATTGTGGGGCCCTGTACCCTTACTCTACTTGCACATGCATTTTTACATATATATATATATACACATTCACTGAAACTGTCCATAATTAATGTATTCTTCATGGGGTATATGTACGTGATATGTCTTCCATTCTCTCGTATCGTATTGAGTTTCAGAGGAGAAGAAGAAGAGGAAGATATTTCATGGAGAAGAAAAGGAACAAGGGAAACCTTGAGTGTATTGAAAACGGTGTCGTCTTAGTTCGTCTTTTTAGCAAACGAATTCATAGGCAAAAACATCTTTTTTTTAAAAAAATTTGGAAATCGTTTTTCTTGTTATAAAGTTGAAGAACGAGTTGCGTAAAGAGATTAATTCGAATTTCGCCATTTATTTTCTTGTTTATTTTAATCGTTTTTCTTGTTTTTTTCTTGCATAGAGAGATTTAATTCGAAAGATAGGAATAACACCATTTTTTAACAACCGATTACATGCACGATTCATGTACGTCTTCTTCAATGACGTAATACACATGCAAACAAGACACACACACACACACAAAAACAGACCGTATGGCTAAAACGACAACATGTGATGGATTTTCCTCTTAATCCTCTTCTCCTTGATGGTATCCAGGCTCGGTTTCCATCCTTTTCCCGACAATTGCCTGCTCAAATACCCCGGCCTCACCCTCTCATCTTCTTCCTCCGCCTCCGGCTCCGTCAACCTCCCCACCGCCGCCGCTGCAACCGTCACATCCCGTTCTCCGGCTGCCTCCGCCGCCGGATAAACCCTAGCGAACCAAGGTAGAATCCCCTCGTAGTAGCTTAACAACGCGGTGGTGCTCGACAGCATCCGCCGCATCTCCTCCGCCGCCGCCGCCACCGCGGCCGACGTAGAAACTTTGGCGCCACGCCTTTTGGAGGGAAGCATCAAGTAGATCTTCCCCGGGTCGAGGGTCTTGTCCGCCGGCAGCGGAGTTAGCTTTTTCTTGACGACGTTGCCGTTATTTTTCCGGCGACGGTCATTGAACGATATGGACGAAGGATCGAACTCGACGACGACGTGTTGTGGATGCTCGAGCATTAGCTCAGCCACGGTCGTAGGTTCCTCTAAGTTCTGTACTCTGCCGTCGGAGAGTACGACTTTTCCGGCGGCCCCCGCCGCGTCCGACGGTCGGGAACCGACGCTGTTACCCATCTCTTCGCCAACCCTCAAATCAAATATTTGGTCAAACGTCTTGATTCTTTCTCCCTAATCGATGATGCGGATGTGAGAATAAGCGTATGTAGAGTATATATATGAATGTGCGTACACGTGGGCGGGCATGCGTGGTATGATATATAATGGGTTTGTTTGTATGAGTTTGTTAAACCGTTCCATCTTTCTACTTTATTCATTATTTACTTATTATATAAAATAACATTTTAATGGTGGATGTGGTTATACATGGCTATGGATAGTGAAATGTGAAATTAAATGGGGTCTCCTATCAAAAAAAGGGAAGCGAGAGATTAATGGGGTAGTTGTGCTGTGGTTAACGAAAGCTTATTGAAGTGATAATCCAACGGCTTGTGGTTTTATAGTGCGGTTGGACCCAACAGTGGAGATACGTGCATGCATATTATATATATATATTATATATATATATATATATATATAGATATATATATTAGTATCATATATTTACGTGTTAGTTAACAAATATGCGTGAAATGCAAGTCAATGATAATTCGTTCAACCGAAACTCGGCTGGGTAGTTAACCGACGTGAGGGGTCATATATATAGCTGATGAACGCCCTTTTCATAAAATGTAAATGATTTCCCATCTATTCTTAAAAAGAATTTCAATTTTTATATGGTGGGATGCACGTACGATCTGATAAATCAGTTTTTTTTTTTTTTTTGATAATGCGGAAGTTCACGGGCCAAAGACCCGACTACATCTCCCAGAGGACCGAAGCCCATGTGAATGTCCCTCCCCACGCTTGGGTTTGAACCTAGGATGAGAGCATGCTTTGCATGTTCTCTCACTACTAGGCCACCCAAGTTTGGGTCTGATAAATCAGTTTAGTCGGTACATGCACGATGATATATATATATATTTATATATATATATATAAACACATACCTATAACTTGAAACCATAAAAGGAAGCAGATCAATATTGACAGAGTGAATATAAACAAGTTTACCCGTGTGGATCCCCATATAAAGAGCGCATCAAACGATACGGACACATGAGTGTATCAACAAGCCAAAGCCAAGATCGAGCCACACTTAGATTCTTGAGAAAACTGACCTTTTTCCTACTTGATGTACTGGGAAAGCCACTTGAAGCCATCGCCATAACCCATCTTCCTGACAATGCTGCACATGAACACCTCGAGCGGCCTCACGTTTGAATCCGCTAGATTCACCTTACCCTTTCCCGTCGTGAAGTTGGAGAGCCCTAGATGGTATCGCATCTCGTCCTCGGAAGCAGCATATGGTATGTCTATCTTGTTTCCGAGAATGAGGAACGGGACATTGGCCAGGTCTTCGTCCGAGAACAGAGCATCCAGTTCCTTTTTCGATTCAGCAAACCTCTCTTTGTCGTAGGCATCCACCAGGTACACCACAGCATCCACCTGCAGCATAAGAATTACATCCAAGAACAAAGAGCAACTAAACACCTAAACACAAACAGAGGATGTCAGAAATGATTGGAACTCATTGTTCATAAGAATTTGTTGCATGCTCATTGCTCAATCTACTCGGATGGACAACAAGAGAATCACTTACCGGAGTCTCTAGGGCAAAAATATGAATGAAAATTCAGTAGACTTTCATTACAAAAAAGTATGTGAGATCAGGAAACTGTAATAAAAAGGTTTACCACAAAAGACTAACCTTAGCATAGTAGTCCTTCCAGACCCTACGTGCGATCTGATGACCACCCAAGTCAAAAGCCTTAAACTTGATTTTCCCGATGCTAAGTTCCTCAGATGTCGGATGCTGTGTCGGTTGATGCTGCACCAATCTCTGTCAACCAAACCAATTCATCTGGCTCAGTTGAACTTGGTTCATTATAAGGCAAGTTCATCTTCTAAAGGTGAACTTGGCTCAAAATCACCGAGGTGAGCTTATGGTGTAAAAGTGATCGAACCTTAAAGCCCCGATTTGGTAAGAACAAGACTACAACAAACATGGCAATTGGCAAACAACATAGCCTAATCAGAATCATCACCTACCACGAAATTAGAAACTTAAAGCAACTGAAAAACACACACACACCCTAGTTTCAAATTTATACGAGATCATACATCGAAGAAGCCTAGGAGTTTAGTTGGAAGCAGTCTAAACGAAGCCAACACCGGAACCGAGTGAAAATGAATCCAGATCAACTCGATAACTGAATCCGGAAGGCGATCGACAAATATCATGATACAAAAGAAGCAAAAGGAAAGAAAGAGCGAACCTCGTCCTTCAACATGTGAAGCAGGGTGGTTTTACCGGCATTGTCGAGGCCCAGAAACAGGATCTTCGCCTCCTTCTGCCATAGCCCAAGCGAAGCGAGCACCCCGTAGAACCAATCGACCAAAAACATGGCTTCTCGATCCTCCGATCACGAAGCTCAATCCAATCGCGAACGCAAGAGACAGCGAATATTGTCGATTGCCAAATTATTCTGAGAACTCCGAAGACGAGAAGGGATTTTTTTTTCCTCTCCCTTGTTCCTTTTCCCCCTTTCTCTGGCCGAGAGTGTGCGTGACGATAGAAAACCTCTGAATCACCCAGAGGATTATCTTGTTGCCCAGAAACGGCACGCAATGCAGGTTCTGTTGAGGTTCTTTTCTTTTTCCATCTTTTCGTGAGTATTGAATCTTGAAAATTCATTTAACAAAAAACCCCACTTTAATATAAATTTGTAACCTTTTTTGTTTCTTTTCATTTACTATATTCGTAAATGGCCTTGGACCCAATTAGCGTTTTGCCATCGAATTCAATGAAACTGTTTTTTTTTTTTAATAATTTAAAAATTCACCGAACTTTCGATTCAATTACATCTTTCAAATGAACAAAAACACAAGTGAATGCACCTCTTCAAAAATAAAAATGATAATGAATCTTTTATTAAACAAATTTTTATAAAAATAATCACCGTTCGAAGAATCTCAATTATCTTAAACCATTGATAAATGTTTCCTTATAATTGAGAACATGCCAACATTCCCACGTAGAAACGATAAGAACGAAATAGAGGATAAGCACAAATGTCAGCGTCCAACAGGCCAAAGAGAGCAAAAACGCTAATAATAGTATCATTATTTAGAAAAAAATATATTTTCTTATAAAAATAAAAAGATTTTTAGCAATTATTTATTCTCATCATCCGTTGGTGTATATAAGAAACATTCTTCTTCCAATGGGACCATGAATGCGGCGTGTTAACCAGCATGCATTTTTTTCCCGAATAGTATAATATTATAAATTTAATTTTCTTATTATAATGTTATTTTCGTTTGAATTATAAAATATTAACTAGGAAACAATCTAGTATTAAAATTCAGCAAGGCCTGGTTATATAGGCAACACATTAAATAAATAACAAATTTCAAGTCTAAAGTGGGACCCATTAATTTAAACTCAAGCAGCTGGCCGGAGGACCGTTTGATCAGCATCATGGCGACTTTTCTCCGAACGTAGAAAAAAAAAACCGATTTATCATTATTAATTTTATTAAATAAAAACACGAGAAAAATATACGTTTCATACATAAAAAACTAAAATCCATGGACAGATATTACATTTGCGAATATTAATATGCGTGGCGAATATAGTTTTTTTTAAAATATAGTTATCATTACTATATTATTATTATTATTATTAGAAATAGAAAGAGGACAAACGAGAGCCGGTCAAAGGGGCTTGACCTGTCTGATCTCATAGTTGTGTAAAGGATAGCATGTTTACGAATATATCCCACAGTTCCAGCTTTTACAAAACCGCGTTTATGTTTCTTTATTAGTTTTTTCAAAAAAGTTATATTTTATGAGATTCAACTATTATTAAATTTATCTCCATAACATCTGATATATACAATCAATTGCAATTAAATATTTTTCCATTTATATATTATATCAATTACATGTCCAAATAATATTTATACATGATAGTTGAATTTGCGAACACCGTTTCAAGAGGCTTGGAAGTTCAATTAATATATAGATATATGTATGTATAATGATATCCGAAATAAAAGGAGGAATGTTGTATTTTAAAATTTGAATAAAATATGCTTTGGAAAGGGTAAAACGGGAAATTCGTATCCCGTTTATTGCGAGCGTTTAAAAAAACTGGCAGTCTCCCATGGGCGGATTGAAATAAAAGCAGAGAGGAGTTTTTCAAAAACAGAGCCTCAAGCACTTTCGCTAAATTCAAACGCAGAGAGAGAGAGAGAGAGAGAGAGAGAGAGAGAGAGAGAGAGAGAGAGAGAGAGAGAGGGGAGAAGTGGTGTTGTTCATCGACGAGAGGGGATCGAATTCGAGGATTTGGCGTTGCAGAATCTGCCACGAAGAAGAAACGGAAAGCTTCTTCGAAGCTCCTTGCGCTTGCTCTGGAACAGTTAAGGTAAGAAGAAGAAGAAGGAAGAGAAGATCGATTTCGATAAAAGCTTTGATTCGGAAAGGAAACTACAATTTTTCCTTCTAATCGCGTTCTGGAAAATTTTTCCGGTGACTGAAAATCGGATAATGAATCTAATGGAAATTTCTTCGTTATGTTCGTTTCAGTTCGCTCACAGAGATTGCATACAACGGTGGTGCGACGAGAAAGGAAACACGACTTGTGAAATCTGTCTTCAGGTATGTTTCTCATCCATGGATTGAACTATTTAATTTCTCGCATGAATTTAGAAGCGAGAATTACCTTTCGGGGGATTTGGTTTTTGATTTTGTGATGTATGCTTCGCTGCTTCCGGATAATAATATTTTCTCTGTTCTTATTTTTTTTTTAGTTTCAAAAAATTGGAGTTGCTTATCGCGTTTGATTTATGTCACTATTTCTCCTGTCAATTCTCTAATCCATAGGCTATTTTCTCCATGAAAAGTCCTCCACATACTCTCCTGTTTCTTTCCGTAACGAAACCAAACAAATTCGATCGTCGTAATCAATAAGTTCCTCTTCTGATCCCCGATTTCAGTTTCTAGTCCGATCCAATTGATCATAACAAAACAACTTAAGAACCAAAAACCAAATTTGTATGGGAACCACAAAATTACGATCAGAAGGTGTTTTGGGATTTTTGCGAATTTACCGTGAAATGGAAACTTAATCCTGCAGGAGTATAAGCCTGGGTACACTGCAATTCCTAAACAATCCCGGTTCGTAGAAGCCGCAGTCACAATCAGGTACTTCTTTCTTTTCCCTCCTTAATTACTCTAAACTCCAATAGATATTTAGATACATTGAAATCTGAGTTATTAACTGAATCCAGCTAACGATATTTCTTTTCAATTTTAAACTACTCCACATGCTTCCCTCTTCTCCGCGTACGGAGAAATACGAGTTAATCATGCTATTATTATTTACTGGAATTTTGACGAGCACGGAGAATATGGGCAAACTGAGAATTGATATTTGTGCGTGGAACAGAGATAGCTTGCAAATTTCGAGGAGAGAAAACGCGAGGAGAAGAATTAGAAGAGAAATATCCGATTCTCCAGAATGCAATTCTGCTGCTGCTGATAGATGCGTTTCTTGTTGCCGAACCTTGGTTCTCACTGTAAGTCCTCTCACTTTTCTTTCATCTTTTAAATTGTCATACCGCATGCCTAATTTTAGGTGTGAATTTCTGCATTCTAGAGTCTTTAATCATCCGTGAAATTCAAACCCCATTTAATATTACGGAAACAGAATTATAAATTCTTATTTGGTAAGAGTAAGTAAATCAATTATTTTGTTTGAATATTGATTATTTTTGTGGGATATGAATAAAAGGAAAAAAGAAAAACTTGTGAATATAAAGTTTTTATCTGCAAAGAAATAAGAATATGAATCATAACTTAGTTTAGTACATGTGTAGTGTTTGGTGGTTCTTTTAATAATGGAATGCGGGGTGGACACACATATTACAAACCAGCATGTTTGGCTATAAAGTAATTATTAATAATCAAACAATAATAAATTAGTTAAAAAGCAAATTATGAGAGACAGAAAATTATCCTTTAGGAAGCTCTGAAATAGAAATGGCAACCACTATGGTTGTCTACCTTTTTGGCCAAAATCTTTTATGGTAGGGCATGTGGCAAATCATTAAGATTTTAGTTATTTTCTTGTTGTATGTCACAAACAAACCTCAAACCATATACCAATCTCTTACAAATGTATATACTCTTTACTATCACTCGAGTTTCCAATTTTTTTTCTCCATTTCCTCAAGTCACATGTTTTTTTTTTATATTAGTGTTCTCTATGTATAGAAAATTGAAGATCTCATGTACATGAATACATGAACAGAGAAGGGTACAGTTGGGTTTGAGTTGATGATCGTCTAGGCTTGTAAGTATTTGGGTTTTAGATATTTCGAAGGTTGGGATTTGTTGTAATAAGGTGTGGAAGTTGGTGGGCCAATTAACTTTGCCTCTAGATAGAAATTTCTTGTCACCTAAAAAGAACAGTAGTAGCTGCATATCCACCAAACAAATGGAGAGATACATACGGTTCAAGGTGCGTTAGATGGTAACGGCCGATCATCTTGTTGGCTTGCTTTGCCTTTTTACCATTTCTAGTTATACCCATACCTAACTGGACCGAACCACTTCCTATTCGGCCTAACCGATAATTTCCCCTACAAACTACACAATTGTCCAAAAAGTAACATTTTTTTTTTCTCACAAAATTTTATTCGACAGAACAAAGATTAAAACTTTGTTTCATTTAATGTATGCGGGTCCTTAGCATATGCATATACATTTACTCGTTATTTGGTAATATTATGTTGTTAACAAATGGCTTATATGCACACGTGATGCAGTTTTCAGTGGTTTTGCTCGTGAAGCATGCGTTGGATGTGATATATGGAATCGAAAAGTATCCTTTCACAGTTCTCACGGTAGGGTTTCTTACTTGTAATTGCAAGTGGGTGACATAATAGATTTACTTAAAATCTTTCGTTGAATGGGGATGTGAACAACAAAAAATGCAGGTGCTAGTGTTGAAGGCAATTGGAATTCTACTGCCGATGGTTGTTATTCTCCGGACAATAGCAGCTGTTCAGAAGAGTCTCCGACACCAATATCCCGTAAGCTCCTCCGGCTCCCATTTTATTTTTTGAGCATATATAATATAAATTCATACATCCCATGTGGCATGTGCCCCATGAATGTTATGTGATCGACCATATCTCAATCTCACGTGCCATATGAATGAATCATAATCAAGGAGTACTACATACATAGCCTGAAATAGATTTTCAAACCTCTGACTTCAAAGAGAATTTAAACGACGGACTTTTTTTAAAAGGGAAGAATCGCATATATCGATGTCCAACGCGTCCAAGTCAGCGGAGAGAGAGAATTAAATACGAAGTGCGGCTTTGTTGACTTTTGGGTTTTCTGGTAGGAATCTGAAGATGATGAGGGGTCCAATTATGAGGACGAGGACGAGGACGAGCAACACCGGCATTTGGTACGACGCTTAAACACGTCTCTCTAACCAAAATAAAAAAATTTGCAAATAATTGTTTTTTTTTTTTTGGTGGTCAATATAAATATACGGTTTCGAGAGGAAGCAGCATCCCTTCGATGCGCGTGGTTCTCAAAGATATGAATTTGTTATATTCACTTTCACGATCGAAATGATAATAAAGGGAACGGGAGAGGAGGGCTTTTCAAGGCCATCTTCTTCTTCTTCTTGTGTAGCATTCTCGGGACTTTAATGGCCACTCTCTCTTCGGCACCCAGTCTGGAATTATGGGCTTATAAGGCAGAGGCCCATTTAGTTTCTACCGAAAAAAGGCCTTTTACTTCACCCAACATATAAAATGATTATATGTGTCACACCCTCAAACGTAAACATGTTTGGATGTCAAGCAGAACAAGGAGCCGCATGTCTGTATAGCCAGCCACTTTGTGTTCTCCATTTCAGAGGATATAAATAACATAAAAGAAAACACACGGAATACAATTAACCAATACTCAGGGGAAGGAGCATTACATTACATCAGATGAAACGGATGTCAAAGGTGTGAGGATCAATCTGCCACACATTCAAAGCTGCGTATTCCTCCAAGCATTCCTTCAGCTGCGCCTCGCTGTAACCCTGTTTTTTGTTTTGTTACCCACATACAGTTACCGAAAAACATCTCAATAGTAGCTTATCAATTTAATGAGATTCAAGATGAATCATATCAGTATGTATGTGTATTGTACTCTACCTTTCTGGAGATCCAGTTGAGTGCATTTGCGTAGCTCACGTGTGTTCTGTTCATCCTTGCAGCTTCATCTCTTACGATGGAGTAGATGTCTGAAATGGCGTCCAGACCTGCTTTCTGCCGATCATCCGCGTACAGTGATATTTTCGACATCTGCATTAGCCTCAGTGCCTCGTCCACATCGCTTTGTGCCACCGCTTCCGAGAATCTCAGCCTTGCTAGTGCCTGCATATTAAACAAAAATAAGGGAAAAGCTCATTCATCGGGTGGTAATACTATACTACTCAAAATTGCCCAGGAACTTACGGAGGAGATGCGGAGAATGCTGAGGAGAGTCCTGACGGTTGTGTAGGAGTGAGGGGTATTTGATTTGGCTTCTTCCTGCCTGATGCTGGAATAAGCTGTCGCTATATATTCCTCCAGCTCCCTTGGTACGTAAGGGGACAATCTCCTCGCCGCCGAAATATATGCCCTACTCACCCATACAAAATAAAAGTCAGCAAGGAAGGATTCACTCTGTCACCATGCAGAATCGGGTTTGAAGTTTACGAGCAAAGGGTCGCAGGGGACTAGGCTGTTTACTCCAAATGCACATCATTCACTCGTGGATCATATCGCTATATCAAGCATCCAACGCCTTTTAAGGTGAAGGATTTGCCATATCCTTCCATTCAAAATTAACAATGCAGACCAAAGGAATTGTCACAATTATAATTTATCAGGAGAGAATGTTTACCGGAGAATAGAAGGTTCAAGGGGATTGAAGCCAAGTGCCGGGGATTCTTTATTTTGGTGTACATAAACCACATGCCTCGCCATTTCAAGGTCGCTGTCCATATCAGCTCGATCTAATATCAACCATAGAAGATCAAATCTCGATAGAAGTGCCGGTGGAAGATTTATGTTTTCTGCTGGAGTTCTCCGCAAGTCGTATCTCCCCCTTCATAAACCAAGACACGTTATTCAACCGTCGACGACATTGATTTCATATTCTTCTGGAGACTTCTATACCGTAATTGGTAACTTACCATGCTGGATTAGCAGCAGCAAGAACAGCTGTTCTCGCATTCAGAGATGTAGTAATCCCAGCCTTGGCAATGCTGACAGTTTGCTGCTCCATGACCTCATGAATCGCAGTACGGTCCGATTCATCCATCTTATCGAACTCGTCGATTGCGCAAATACCCATGTCAGCCAGCACCTGAAAAATAATCAGTATTTAGTCTCTGGATCATGGAGATTTTCTCACGGATCAGACTGAAAGATCAACCTCCCATTCTAGACAGGTAGACACTAAATAGAAGACACACACAGTCATGGCTGACAATTCTATCCACAGAACATTCATTTTAAAGGATAAGAAATAAATACCCATAGACCCTGGATGATGCATCAACAATGTTTCTTACCAACTCGTGCAAGCACAATTTTAACATTCAAAGATATTCAAAGTAAAGAGTTTGCTGTCTCCTACCAGAGCTCCCCCTTCTAGAACCATCTCGTTTGTCACTTGATCTCTCTGAACAGCAGCAGTTAGACCAACCCCACTGCTACCTTTGCCGGTTGTGTAGACTCCCCTAGGAGCTACGTTGATAATATGCTTGAGAAGCTGACTCTTGGCAACACCAGGATCACCCATCAGACATATATGCAAATCTCCTCTAATCTGCAATTTAAATTTAAAAAAAATGATTTATATCAGCAGATAAAATATTTTCCAAACATGCCAGTGTCTAGTATAAGCAGAAATCAGCATACATAGCATAAACTTTAAGCCACCATAATGTACAGAGACTATTGATACCTGGAATTGCTGTTCTGAAAGAGGCAAATAATATAGAGGAGCTTTGAGCATAAGACTAAAGAGGAAAAGATAAAGTTCTTCACGAGCATATATTTCAACCTAGTCTTATCATAAATGGTTGCAATAGCATGGAAAAAAAGGGAAAATAGGAGTGGAGGACAAGATAATTCACCTTCATCCCATCCTTCAATTTTCTGTGTGGAGCACCCACAAGAAGGAGAAGCAACGCTTTCTTAATATCTTCATGTCCATAAATCTCAGGGGCCAGAGACCGTGCTAACTTGTTATAGATGTCACCATCCTCAGCCAGACGTGCAATCTGTTCTTCCTCATCTTTCTCAAGTTCGTATCTGCAACATAGTGTAAATGATCATGATGCTTACTGATATATGTGCAAATAAAATGTGACAGTGAAAAACCATAGAAGAGGTGACAAAATCCAAGAATTTTGAAAACAAGAGTCTGGCAGTGGATTACTCCTCGTATTTCTTCTTGAAATGAGTGACCGATGTCACCTCCAAGTATGTGTCTGCAACTAAGCCAGCTCGGAGTGCTCTAAATCCAGTGTAAGGAATGGGAAGGAAAATCCCCGATAACTCAACAACATCACCTGGTGCTACCTAAAGGATTAAAGAAGTTTGGCAAAATCAATAGTTCAGTCACAAGATATGGAGTTATTTGATAGGGTCAGAAAAAAACCCAATGAAGTTATACCTATACTGATAGAATTCTATTAAAAACAGTGGAAAAGGTGAATCCTAAAAAATTGCCACTAAATAAGCTGTTTTGTAACAAATCAGCATCAGCTTATAATAATCCATCCACGATACATACTGAAGCACTTGCTATTTAAAAACTATATAAAAGTATGCTCTTAAGCAGAATAATAACTATTCAGGCTATGCCCTAACAAGCCATCCGCAGATTCTCACAAAACAACTAGGCTGTGATATTTTGTATGAGCCAAGATCAAGGAGAGTACCTTTCTCGTCAGCTCTCCTCTGAGATGAACAGTCATTGACCGCGGAATATGCCCTTTAGGAACATGTTCAGCCAATTCTTGAATCTTGGCCTGCAGTATGTCAGTTTCATCGATTAATCAACCTGGTATGAGTGTACTCAAACAAACAACTCGTCAAAGCGAATAGAACCTCTTGAAACTTCAGAAACTTTGATGCCCTCAACTGGAGGATAGGATTTCCGTCCTTTTTGTTAAGCCGACAACGCCTGGAAGGGCACTTAAACAACGGCATGAAGACTCTAGAGGTTACTTCCTGATTTCACACGCAACAGAAGGGTAAGCAGTGTTAGTAGCTAAAAAATATAAAAGAGTAAACAATGTTCTTGCAGGTCGGTACATAGATACCTGGTAAATTTCATGGCCACAATCTTCACATGTGTAAACAGCAACTGACATCAGTGGTTTTACATCAGAACAACGAGTCACAATGCCAGATATCCTCACAAGCTGTCCAATATGTGAAGCCTTAACCTCCCTGATGGTAAATGGCCGACCCTTTGAAAGAGCTTTGAAATAGACCTCGCTGAATCAAGACAAAGTCAGCAATTCATTGGCACAGGTATCCAAACTTCATTGCAATTTGAAAGACTCCAGACAAAATGTTTCAGTCAGTGCTCCATAAATGATGAAGACGAACTCACGCAGTCAGACTAAACCATTGGATTAAAATTCAAAAGGGCACAAATCAGAACCTTCTAATACCAGTAAAATAAAATGTCTGAACTTACAAGAAGCGCTTGATCTCCGCAGGAATTTGCTGATGCTGATCAGATATGTCAGCATTATCGGTAACATCCTCTGCTCTCTGTGTCATCAGTATATCATGATCATCATCTGGAAATGCTTCCGTGGGTTCTGGCATCAGCTCGTCAATTGCGGAGGAGAAAATGGTGATATATCGGCGGGTGTTTTCAGTTAACCGTCTGACAAACTCATCATCGTAATCCTTGTACTGCAATAGCAAATACACGAGTAAGTCTGCTAGAATTTTGCAACAAACCCAAAGGAAAAGAGAAATAACTCACATTGAAAAGGTCCTCGAGATCAATCTGAATCGCTCGAATCTTCCGATTTGCTACTTCTTGCTACAGAAGCAAATAGGGAAAAAGGATATGGATTAACTTCGAGGCTCCAAACTAGTCTCACAATTAATTAGTAAAACGAAAGGAGAGACTCGAGAAGCTTTCGCCAGTCCGTGAAAATTTTCTAGGAAATCAAACAGATGACAGGAAAAGAAAAATTCCGCAACAGAGAGCGAATTAATCGAGACGGAGGAACTAAACGGATCACCAGTTCAATTTCAATTTCAAATTTACCGGGGTTGACCTAACATAGACTGGGCAAACCCTAGAAACAGAAGCATGGCTTGAGCAAAGTGAAATCGTCAAAAGAAATTCAAGCGAAAACTCACGAGGATTTCCATGTACTTGGATCTGCCATTTGTGTCGGCGAAGTTTGCCAGAAATTCCTTAGCAACGGCTGAGAGAAGAAAAACAACATCACAAAAAAAGAAAGAAAAAAGTCGATACAAAATAAAAAGGATCAAGAACAAAGCGGGAGATTTACCCTTATCCGCGTCGAAATCCAGCTCTTTCATGATTTAGCTTCGGTTTGCACAGGGAGAGAGAGTCGCAGAGAACGCAGGCGAAAAGAGAGAAATGAAATTTGGGGACGGATTTGGCGGCAAAATGTTTATATAAAAGATGAGAGTTGGCGGGAAAATTAGACGGAGGTGACAAGCAGGGCGCGGTTGTCGTGGACGGTCCTGATCTAATATAGGTCGATTCGGAAAAGTCAGAAATACCCCTACGAAAATTATAACAAAAAAAAAGTACATATGTGGCTGCTGGGATTCGAGCCCAGGTCTCCACGGCCACAACGTGGAATTCTAACCACTAAACTACAGCCACTTTGAATGTCCTTTTTCTAAAAACAATATCAAGTCAAGACCATCCTTGAACAAATAGGAAACGGATGAAAGAGGACAGAATTGGACATGTTTTGTTTTTTAAATCATGGGACAGATGTTTGATATATGAAATAAACAAAGAGGCCTACGAGGAAACAGTAGAGTGCTCCTTTGATTTGGCCAACTTGGATTGAATGAGTTTGTCCAAAATTGGTGGCTCCAATGGAACTGCATCAAAGCACCGTTCTGAAGCTGCAACGATCACCTGTACAACACCGCAACCGGGACTGTTAGTTGCTTATTATTACACATCACATACAGAATTTTAAACTGGGACATCATCTATTCAAAGAGAGAATGATCACCTCGTCCAGCAAGAAGTCGACGGCAGCTTCATCCTCGGCTGTTTCCTTCAAAGGAGATCTTAGGAACTGAATGTCCAGCTGGATTTGCTGAAACCCACTCCTGTTAAATGTTTGCATCCGCACGTACTCTTGCAAACTCTTTAGACTCAGTTTCAGTATCGTCGTCACTACCGATTCCTGCAACAACAAAAAAAAAATTACAAAAGCGAAAACTACTTTGGAGCCGGTGGATAATACGGGATTATTTGCATGCTGGTTTTGTTGAGTCTTACCTGAGTAAACTCAACCTTGGTGAAGATCTCTACTTTCTGCTTGAAAAGTTTAGCTAGATGTGTCTCAAAGAGCTGGCTCCGGGCCCGTTGTGAATTTGAGCGTGTGATCCTATCGTGCTGTAATGGATTGCTCCGGGATGAGGTTGTGGTGTTACTTCCGTTGCTGTCTGACCTCCGGTGCTTACGGAATGTCCCTTGTGGTAAAATTTGCTTCACCTCTTTCCCAATTGCTCCCAGCTGTGCAAAAGGAGAAATCCCAATGTCAAATTATGCATATATCTGTCCTTACATTTCCCATGCTTTAGAAGAAAAAGAGCACTTGGCAAACCTCTTGAAGAAACAAATCCACAAACATATGAACTTCTCGCGGCTCCTTGTGCTGCAGAATATAGTTTTTAGAAAATAAGAACGGGTAAAAAAAAGGCTCCAATGGCAGGGAAAGTATCAGGCATGAAATACCTTGACCCAGTTTGGTGTCTTAAACCTCTTCCTCAGAAGAAGTGATATCCTCTGTGTTCTTGTGTTTATATACTGCAAAAAATAAAGTGATTCGGTCAGTTAGCTTTAAGTTTTGGAAACGCCCCCAAAGAGCCATTAAGGAAAGGAAAGCATGTTTTCAATGCAAGAACAAGCATAGAATACAAGCTCATACATGCTGGAGAAGCTTCTCACTCGCTGAGTGGAAGACCCGGGAAAGTTCTCCAGGAATAAAACCAGGCCCATCCGCAAGGCCTTGGGCGCCTCCTCCAGCAGAGAAGGAAGCAGCTATATCCTGAAAAAAACACAAGGAATTCTCAGTTAATTTTAAGAAATCTATATTGGATTTGTACCAAAATAGAAGATGATTCCTAACCTCTGTGATTCTCGGGATAACCATTTGTTCGATAAAAACAGAGAGTTGGGCCAGCACAAGGATGAAACCTGCATGAACTTTGTCACTTGGTTTTCCCTCAGCCAAACCTTCAGCCTCATTTGGTGAGCTGGTCTTTCCCGAAAGCACTAGAAATAAAGCTTCAAGTGACCGGAAGAAGTTTTGAAACCCCTCTCGAACCCAACCAATAATTAAATCCCTCATCTTGACAAGTATTCCTGTATTTTCTTCAAGGAGTTGATGAAAATCCTGAAACAATAAACAGTGATGAATAACTGAGCAGGAAAGTTACATAGAGAAATGATGTAGAAAAGAGGAAATGTGTGTTGCCTGTAGTATGTTCATGCTGCCTTGAAGCACCGCCTTTTTGCTCGCCTCCACGACAGAGTGCAAAACTTCTTCTTCAACTGCTTCCTTTTGATCGACATTGACTTTCAGGAGAGTATCTACCACGTTGAGACCTTATTTTAGATCAGATTCAGGCAAAGACAAAATCTTGCGAACACATTGTTTTATGACTAGATACTTTCAGGCCCCTTCGGATAATTTCAAAAAAAGACCATGTGCCAGCAGCACCAGAAAGAAAAAAATCACCTTTCACAGACACAGTAAGAATTATTTAAGCATATATCCTTTCTCTCTTTTCCTCTAATAAGAAATTTTACATCTTGTAGAGATCGTAACAGAGAACAAACCAGATATATCTTGCTGAAGATGAGAAAAGGACCTCGCAACAAACTGCTTGAAAGTAGATTGGGCAGCCTGAAATGACAAATTACGAGTAAACATAGATGGTTCTATTATCAAGACAAGAAGTACGGTGATATAGAACAAACAAATGAACAATTAAGAGGTGACCTCTGCAGCAAAATCCGAGAGAGCAGCCTCAGGTAGCACCTCGTCCATAAGCACGACATCAGCCCATATGAGTTCTATGTCCAATGGAAAATAGGTAAGGGTATTAGGACATTGAGTTCGAGAATGATTTGGTGAACAAGTTCAAGCCTTTACAGAGAAATGCGGCAGAGGGAAAAAAAACAGCAATAAGAGAAAAATGCACAAGGAGAACCAAAATACTCACTGGAGATTCCAAGAAAACATGAGGCAGAAACCCGTTTCTTTATATATTGCTCCACATTCTCGAATTGCCTAAAGACAACGAGTGTTAGAAAATCAGTATTCCCAGTACAAGGGATTCTCGGTTCCTGGGTCACTGTATATAAGGCAAGGTGCATTACATTGCTGTCAAGGCTCTCGCAAGTTTAAAAAGTTTTTCCTCTGAGTCAGGAAATATGACTCGGTAAGCATGCATAGCCTCAGAGAACTCACGTACAGCATCCTATTCAAAAGAACAAGCAAATGTCTTAAGAATCCAGCTGGCAGACTTGTTGTCTGATAAATTTCAGATTTAGGTTTGAGAAGAAAACGAACATTGAAAGGATGGAATTTTGTAAGAAAAATGGCTAACAAATTCATTTGGTTTAAAGTGTTCTGATCATTTCAGAATCATGGAAGACAAGGAAGCTGAGGCGTCCATATTTACCTCATGAACTTTGGCAGGATGTGGATCACTGCTTTCTCCATTTTTTGACGAATCAGTGTGCTCCATAAGTTTACTTGCCTCCTCAGGCTTTATTTGAAGGTCATCAAGAGACTGTTCCAGCTTTTCCAACAGTCTGGCCTTTAAACTATCTACCTGCAGGATATAAGAAGTATCGCATATTATGGCACAATAATCATATAAAACTTTATCCAGCAAAATAATCATGTATCTCATATTTAAGGAGAACGGATGTGGGAACTTTTCAAGTTACTTCAGTCCTCGGCCAAGTCTGTAATATATATAACAGATCATGTAAAACTGAACCAAGAGAAAGTACTAACAGGGACATCTAACCGCTTGAGGAGCACTGCAGCTTCAGCTCTAGATTGTATGGATTCTGAATCCGAAAACAGCCTTGCCTGACCGAAAAAAGGAAGCATATACTGAGCTTCACGCAACCCAAACAAAAAGGAATTCCAAACACAAGCAAAGTAATATGTTCATACGTTTAATCCAGCAGGCAACACTATTTAAGTCAAAGGCACACCTGTAACCTCTTTATGATGATTTCTATAGCTTCTTCAGAAGCTCGTTTGCAATCTTGGAATGATGTCTCGCCATATAACTGTAAAAAAGAAAGGCAAACTGTTAAAAGCTTCTAAAAACAAATCCCCATGTATATTCAGAAAGAAATGGGATCTACAGCACGTAAAAGAAACAAGGATGACAGGAAAAGAAATGGGAGAGTTATCTGAAGACCTATATAGAATAGAACCTTGAAAATTGGCATTGCTCCAGTGTAAAACCTGACAGCATCAGCATAGACTTCTGATTTGATGCACTTTTGAAGTCTTGCAGGTAAATCGTAGATGAACTGCTCTTTTTGAAAAATAGAAATTTGTTTAAATTCACAATATTAAGCATCATACATGTGACCAAAATTCACAATATAAAGGAACAATATAACTAAGGAGCTGGCGGCGAAAATCTGTACCAAACCTGAACTTTACGAAGAAGATTACGTGTACGGTGCAGTTTCTCGATATGTTCTCTCTTTTCGAAAAGAGAAGTGTTGACCCCATCACTTCTTGATTGTACTGACATTATCTGCGGGAATCAGTTGGGGTATCATCCTCTGGTTTTGTCTTCAAGCAATATATAAATGGAAACCAAGACAACATGTTATTCAATTATTTTAACACACCTTCTGAAGAAGCTGACCCATATTGCCTTCCATCCCCACGATATTACTCTTCATCCTAGCAGGTCAAGAGGGAAGATTTCTTAGATATATGCAGATTCCTGAAAGATACTAATAACAGATAATGCTAAAAGGAAATCACACAATCAGTATCCAAAACGGATCTGGGAACCAGAACAAGTACCTTTTGATTGTATCTGTTGCACTAATGAATTTGTTGTAATTCTCATACACTAGCATCTGCAAGTCTGTGTCGAGATTTTTAATCTGTGCAGCCATATGAACATGCCTCTGCAAAAGCCCTTCGAGATTTGATTTTTTTATCTGCACAACCCGATAAGCTCACCATAAACTGTCATGTTTCTCTATATGATCCTCTTTCTACGCTGCTGCCAGACATTCCACTGAAACCCCAGCACCCCTCCAGAAACGAGACTGCGAGTAATTCTTCTCTAGCATCTATTTTATCAAACTTTTGACGAACCGTCAAAAATTGCAGGGAAGAACACGGATAGTTTACATGTCTGGAAGAATTCCCTGATCTAGGATAACAACTAGAAAACCAATGGAGGAGGAAGGAACGTAGATCTATGGCTAAACATAAGAATCCACTTTCCGAAACCCATAAGAAGGTTTTTCGCACCGTAAACTTCGTGGTCATGGAAACTCGAATTTTCCGAGCATTTATCAAATCGAAAACCTCACCGGAGTAATCACCAACCTCGCTCGGGAACTCGGATTCGCGGGATCAAGACCCTTCCGCAAAGCAAAAAAGAAATTACTAACCAGGAGATCCATGTACTGATCGGCATTGAAGGAGGTGCTGTTGATGTTGTCGAAAGAGGCGTGCGTAGAGGAGGCACCGGTCGAGATGGAAGGATCAGGAGCGTAGAAGCTGGACAACAGATCTCTCATTCTCTTGGCCTTCTCGTCCATCGGAGCCGCCTCCGTCGCCATTTCCACGCCTCCTCCGGGACGAGAATATCTGTAATCGGAAATCACAGCGAAAAAAGTCCGTCGCAGATTGGAGATCGAAAACGAAAGTGGGTCGGAGTAAGAATTCGAAAAGAGGCTTGATTAAAATGGGCTTCTTGCTTACATGAATGAGCCCTTGTCCAAGTGGACGACGCTGTTCGCACGGAGCCAGCCACGTGTCCTTCAGTAACGGCTCTTTTTTTTTTTACGAACTATGATTTTATTTTGTGCACCATTATTCCTTTTTCAACGTTATTTTTTGTGTAAAATTATTCTACTATTTCTCATTGATCGTACATTATGTTTTTTTGAAACATGTAAAAGCGTTTATTCGCAATAAAAATGGAAATTTTTCAAAGGTTTCAAGTGAAACGGTTGAATTAGATCGTGGAGGAGAAATCAAGGGACCTTGGTAGACCAAGAAAGGAACTTTTATTTATGGTTATGTTTTGAAAAGAGATATATATTACTAGAAAGAAGAGCATTATACTAATAATTCTATCACCAACTCATTACAAATGGAATCGGACTGCCACAACAGTTGCTTTTTTCCTTATTACTGTCAGAATGTTTAATATGGGAATAATAAAATACACTGAAAATAGCACAGTTTTTTTATAAAAAAATATTTCCGGACATTGTTTCACTCTCTGTCCGGAAAGACAGCGTGTTATGTTCTTCATTCACGTCTCTATCTATGCTGGATCGTTCTCTACATCCACTGGGCTGTTCTTTTCGTTGTCCAGGCTCCTCTCATCGGAATCATGGGCACCTTGACAGAGAATTTCGACGCCAGATTGTTTATTGCGGCCCAAGAAAGGTGGGTTTTGATCAGGGTCTTGTTTTTCTTGGGTCTTCATGAAGTGATGATGGTGTGGTTCAGACTGGTCGTGAAGCCCGTGGTTGACGACACGATACCGGGGGTTTATACGGAGAAGCGGTTGTCGGAGAGGGGCGTGGTGGCGGTGACGTTTGGGATGATGTGGTGGTGGAGGCCGATGGAGGAAGCGGAGGGTTTGGCGGTGGTGGCAGAGCCTAAACATAAGCTTCTGATTGGTTTGGAGGCTTTGGATTATGGGAATTGGTTGATCTATTACACCTGTGCTGTGCCTGTGATTGGGATACTTAGGGTTTTGAGAAGGTTATTGTGAGTATGGAACAAGGTGTTAACCACTCGTATAGCCAAAAAGGGTTGTGAATCTTGTGTAATTGTTGATGATTCTAACTTATAAGATAATGTTTTTTTCATCAAAGGTGTATAATAACATTTTAATTTTCCCGTAAAAATAGTAAAATACACAGTAACTAAAAAAATTCCCATGTCAAGAAATATGCAAACAAAGGGAAATTAGCCACGAGCTTCAAGTGTACACACGCATGTAACAAGAGTCAACGTCATAACAGTAGAGTTTCATGCCACGCGTTAGAAGGCAAATTAGTCGAATATTGTCAAACCCTTTTAAACCCACCATGCACCACAACATACCGCGTTTGTGGAACTTCGTTTTGGCGATGCCTTAGTAAAGGCACGTATACTTCCACTAAGCACTGCACTAATTATATCACACATATATGTTATCCTAAGTGACACGTCACTATCACAATCTATTAACCTTCGTTAGTGTATTTAGAAGACCTATTATAATTGTAATGTCCCCTCGTTTCGGGGTCGCCACGTTTTCATGCGTTTTCCAGAGATATCGGTGAATGTGGGTCTTAGTGGTTTCTTCTTTATCGTGTTTGTGATTCAGACATGTGTTTCAGTTGGCTATAAATAGGGTTTAGGATCAAAATATGGCATACATCACACAAGCAAGTGTTTCTTGGGTTCTTGTCTGACCGAGTATATAGAAATTGGTGAATTGAGTGAGGATAAGAAGAGAGGGGAAATGGGTAAGGTTGTGAGGAGTGTATATGTTATGGCATCGGTGATGGTGCTTATGATGTCGATAGAAGTGATGGGGTTGGTGGAGAGGGCTTGTCGGGATAAGGATGGTAAATTAGTACTTAACGCGAGGAAGGCAGGATGCGGTGGATTTGGTGCCGGTTGGGGCGGAGGCGGCGGTGCCGGTGCCGGAGGAGGAATAGGAGCCGGAGGAGGAGTTGGTGGTGGAGAAGGAGGAGTAGATGGAGGTGGAGGCGGAGGTGGACGTGGAGGCGGCGGTGTCGGAAGAGGCTTCGGTGGCGGTGGAGGAGGATGTGGTCGTGGAGGCGGAGGCGGCGGTGCCGGTGCCGGAGGAGGAATAGGAGCTGGCGGAGGAATCGGTGGTGGTGTCGGAGGAGTAGGAGCTGGTGGAGGAGTTGGCGGTGGTGTTGGAGCCGGAGGAGGAGTAGGTGGAGGTGGAGGCGGCGGTGTCGGAGGAGGCTTCGGTGGCGAGCTGGCGGAGGAATTGGCGGTGGTGTCGGAGGAGGAATAGGTGGTGGGGTTAGAGGCGGCGGTGTTGGAGCCGGAGGAGGAATTGGTGGCGGTGGTGGAGCCAGAGGAGGAGTGGGTGGCGGAGGTGGTGGTCGCAGAGGAGTCAGAGGTGGTGCAGGTGGTGGAGTCGGTGGAAATGCTGGTGGGGGTATAGGAGCAGGTGGTGGCGTTGGAGCGGGAGGAGGAATTGGCGGTGGAGCCGGTGTTGGTGGTGGTGGAGGACTTGGCACCGGTGGGGGAGTCGGAATTGGAGGTGGTGTCGGTGCAGGCGGAGGAGTTGGTGGCGGTGCCGGCGGAGGAGTCGTTGCCTTGCGTAAAATATATAGTCTTTGCATGCATGGTCATAATATCGTCGCGTTCCATTCCGTCTTTGAGTCTTTTTGTACCTAACAGCCTATTGTAAAATATCAACAATAAAACTAATAAAACGATTAAAAAATTATATCTAAACCTCGCCTTATATGTGAAAACGATTTACAAAAAATATATATAAATATGGGAGTATCCGTAGGCGCACTCATGAATTTTGGGCTTCAGCTTTACATTCATTGATATGCTATATATGTTCTGAAATTATAATTGAAGATTAAAGGGGCAACTGGTATAAATTACGCACAAAGGAACATAATTGGTCACTGTAAAACAAGCCGATAAGATTCTCTTCAAAAATTATTATATCCAATTAGTTAACTCTCCAGCCTAATTCGTCGTGTAAGCTATTCAATAGAGGTAACTGGCGATGGCATAACGATCCAGTTGAAATGTGAAGGGGCATGCCAATTGTTATTTATTAATTGGCAGTATTTATTTTAATATAAAATGATGGTTTCAAATTCAAAACATGCAATTAGAGTAGATTAATTTATTGCAAAATATAGATACAAATGGTTATATATATATATATAAACATGTGTGTGTGTGTGTGTGGCGACGGAGAACGTGATTCCGCCGATTGATATCGGGTTCATGAATGTACAAAGAGGGTATTTTAATACGCACACAACAAACAATGAACCGACATTAGGATCTAAGTACTTGAGACATGTTTCTGATTAAGTAGATTTATATTCAGTCAATAATTGGTTCTACTACATTATCCATCAATCAAGATTATGTCTTTTTTAATTGTACGGGTTTTATACACAATCAAACAATGAATACATGTGTATATATATAAATACATACATGTATTGAAATTATGACACAGAGTGGAAAGTGGCCGATGGATGAGAAGGTGGGAGAGGTGATGAAGAAGAATATATAACATGTGGGTGCATGTGCATTTTGAGTTGGAACAAAACATGGCCAAACCTACAAGCAACACCCATTTGGACACGCGTCACGTTCTCCTTCACTCGTCCCATGATTATTGGAGAATAGAAATCATATAATATATACTATCATGATCAAGATTTGTACAGGCGACGTGGTTCGTTATCTTGGGTTGGATCAACCCACATTATTTGCTCCCTCGAGCCATATATATATATATGCACTCTATCATTCATTGTTGCGTTATCCAAGTTCTTCTCTTATTGAACCGAACCATCAAAATTCGAGGGTTCTCTTTGTAATGGCTATTTCTCAAGATCTTACATTTGCATCGTCGGTCCATTCCAAAGGTGCGATTATTCGGCCAATTTCAAAGAGATGCCCGAATCATTTCAAGAAGAGAAGAAGCCATATCGTGAACCAAGATTCTAGAAAGATTCTGAAGAGGACAAGAACACCACACAGGAACATTTACAGGAGGAGGACAGCGAAGCCTATAGAGAGAAGGATCAACGCTCTGAAGAAGCTAATCCCGACACGTGATGAATCAATGGATGTCGATGAACTCTTGGAAGAAACAGCCAACCATATTGTATCATTACGACACCGGATTGAGGTGATGAAGGTCATGGTTGTGGCCTTGTCGGGTCCTAACTCCTAAGTGAATGATTCCTCCATTTTTTTGCTGTGTTCCCTATTCTCTCTTGTACTTATACGATCACATTATCTCTGCGTTGAGGAAGCAATATATGTATGACCCTTTTTCATATAATTTGATTTTGATGAAATTTTCGATCTTATCTTACATTTGTCAATGTGAATGTATTGTTATTGATGGGTATATGGTAGTCCAGGAGCTTCTTCTCGTTCCGGTGATAATCATGGCCGATTTAACACATGAATTTCATCAAAAAAAATTATTTATCATATGATTGTTGGAATAAAAAAACAAAAAAAAGAAAGAAAAATAAGAAAAAGAAAGAATGCATATGGAAATTGGGTTCCATGCGAGGGCCTAGTGGTAGTGGACCCATGATGTTTACCTTAGAAAACGTGCGTCATGGGACCGTAACGGCCATTTTCTGCACTACGAAAACCTATCGCCCATACGTTTTGTATACATATATTATTATAAATGCATAAAATTAGTTTTATATTTAAAATTCATTTATTTAAATTAATAATAATTTATTATTAGTACCCTAGTGAAACCAAAGTAATATTATATATATACACACACACAATTTATGTACTTTTATTTTATAGTTCTGCCCTGACGATACAAATATTGAAATTCTTTGTTCAAATTTCAAACAAGTGTTGATGCTGTCTTATACCAAAAAAAAAAGTGGTGGTGCTGTCAAGCTGGTTAATTAGTCAACTGTACTAACGATAAACTAAAATAACACTGCTAACTTTTTTTTAAACGAGATTTTTATGAAAGATTAATTAACATTTTTTTTCAATGAAAAAAACTAAATTAGAAATCATTTGGTCAATCTGGAAGTTTTATTCAATTTCGCGTATTATTACGCAATTTCCAAAATATAAAGGAGCCTATCTACAATCGTTTATTTAAAAATAGTTATGGATAAATGTTAATTGTAATTTTGTAATGTTTTTAAATTTGAAAATATACGAGAGAGAAAAAACGATGATAATGATGATGATGATGATGATGATGATAATAATGATGATGATGCCCGTAGATTCTGGACAAGCTGGCACGTCTACGCAGTTTTCAATCCATACGGCGACATAACAATCCAAAAGACATTCTTGTGTTTCTCTTTTTATAAATCAGAGAACTGATTTTTAGATTTAGACACAAACCCTAAAAAAACAAAATCTTCTCAAATTTCACTCGGAAGAACCCTAATTTGGGTGATCAATCGGTAATCCATTCCCAATATTGGCTGCGATTTCACCCTTTTGTCTTCCTCGTACCTCGCATTAACGGATTTCGGCGTCTCAAGCGAAATGTTTGATCTTGTGAGTTGTTCCTTTTTTTTTGTTGTAACCGAGAAAAAGTTTCTGGGTTATTGTCCGAGGAAAAATTTCGGTGAATTTTTGTTTCAATTTTCGATTTTATTTGGCATCGGCGTATTCGATGATATCTCATTATTTGCTTACGATTGTTGTTACTGGGTTTTTGTCGTTCGTTCCTTTGTTTTTGCGGGGCTTAGGGAAGTTTCATGTATACGCACTTTCCGTGCAAACAAATGTTCCTAAGTTCAAGGTTTTTGCATTCGGTTTGGTCGAATGTTGTAAGAAATTTAGGCATTTTTATATGTTTGGTCGATTGAACCGCTCGCTGTTCCTGAGGCGATTCGGTATCATGAGTGGTTTTACCTGATTCATTTTCGTCCTCTGCCGTATCAATTTAGCTGTTTATGATTCTTTCTGGTCTCTTAGGCTGCCCTTTGATTCCTGTAGTGCTGTATTTTCTTGCAGGTTTTGAGTACCATTGCTGTGTTTATGTGCTAGCGCAATGATTGAAACTCGAGAGAAAAACTTTTGAAATTGTAGGATTTTGCTAGTGTAAAGAGGGTTAAGCAGGGGAAGTCTAGGGTTGATCAGCTTTACTCGGCATCAAATAGGTAGCTTGTACGAAGCTTTGGTAGATGGATCGTGTGGTTTCCGGACAAAAAGATCTTGAAGTGGATATTGAAAGCGGTGTATCCGATGTTTCACAAGAGAGCACTGCAAATCTGTCAAATGGGAGAACAGAACCGGTTTGGAGTGAATGTTCGAGTTTTGGAGGGACTGAAATGGTCGGTGATTATCTGAACCACCCTTTACTCGGAGACAAGAACTCAGGAGAAAGAAGCGGCCAAAGCTCGGATCTTCCGGAGAAAAAATGCGATAATGTAAAGCTTAAGAAGTCGAGAAAGCCTCCAAAGCCGCCGAGACCTCCTAAAGGTCCGTCGTTGAGTGCAAATGACCAGAAGTTGATGAGGGAAATAGCCGATCTCGCCATGAGAAAGCGTGCGAGGATTGAGAGGATGAAAACGCTGAGAAGAATGAAGGCAGCCAAATCACCATCTTCCTGCAGTAGCATTTTTGCCATGATAGTGACAGTTCTCTTCTTCGTCTTTCTGGTCTTTCAAGGTACCGTTCTCGAGTTTCTTAGGTCAAGCTTCTGTCCTTTTGTTCCATGATTAACTTGAAATAGCATACTTTTTCATTTGAAATTTGAACTGTTATACTGTAAAGATTTCAAAATCGGGATACTGGTTTAGTTTTGGATAAGTTCTTACTCCCTGCATGAATTTGTGAAAGGTCTGAAAACTTGTATGGATTCAGCATTACACATTTGGTTCAACCTTCAAACTTGTATGGATTTTCAATTCAATATTCGTCTAAACCCGAGCTTTATATTCTTCTTATCACGTTCCTCCCAAAGCGAACCCGGGCTCTATTTTAACTAAGTTTCCTCTCTTGATATGGGCGAACAGGCAGAGTACAAATGCCCTGTTCTTGTAGTATGGAAATATCTTGGCTTTGACAATTGTCTCAAACGATACTTTCTGGCCGCAGGATTCTCCAGGAGTAATGCGACGATGAGTTCAGAAGACGGGTCACCCTCACCAACTGTTTCAGCCAGTGACCGATGGATTTCGGTTCAGTTCTACAACGAATTTGCTCCCCGTGGGAAAATCGATCCAAGCCCTTCTTCTACCACATTCAGGTGAAGCTCCTCATTCGTCTTTCATCATTTCTATATATTAGTCTCTTGCTCCATTATTAGAGTGAAAGAAAGTAAGTATATATACAGTTATATATGCACAAGCCATGGAGAAACTGAGATTTTGCTTCCAAAGAATTGATACGAACCCATCATAGTATAAACTGTAACGATATCCGTTACCTTCATTAATGGAACTTACGATAAATTCAGATTCATGGGCGAGGGAGTTTCGGGAGCAGACAATGGAGAAGACGGGAGAGACAGTCACTAGATGGAGCATTCTTGGGGTCGTGTAATGAAAGGTTCGTTCTTGCGTGTACATAAAACGTATTAATTGTCTCTTGGCGTTAGAAACATGGTTCCTCTTCGAGGTTTTTAGCTTTTTGTACAGCGGCTGAGCTTCACGCGCCTTGAAACGATGATATGATTCTACGGCTTCTTCACTTCATTGTTTTACTGTTTCACCCTTTGAACCGTTCGTGTTTTTTTTTTTCCTTAAAACATAAATCGAACCCAAGATCTGAGTGAGGAAACTATGGTGGATATTGTTTTGGATTCTTGATGACTTGAACTTTGGTGTTACTGTTTCATATATTTAATGAAGAAAATGATGTCAAATTTTGTCTTTTCCAATTATTAATTTTCCTTGTGATTTAATCAACGGTCGCATAATCCCGTTAAGACGCTTCTAGAGACAACACGAAGTACATTGGGTAGAGATATCAGGTTTTAGTTTTTTTTAGGTAAAGTTATATTTTTTTTTCGTTTTTATATTCTGGAAAATTATGTATATTCATTCATTGGGTATGTTCGTAGATTTTATATTTGATTTGTTTTTATTAAGAAAAAAATATCGTTTCCGGTTGTTTCTGTATTTATCATTATAACGTCGGTTTAAATTTGGTTTCAAAATTCTATTCGATATCTTTAGATTATAACTTATATTCCATCGGAACAAAACAATTAACCAAAACCCATAAACAAGATTTTTAAAAAAAAGGATCAAAAGAGTATATTTTCATCAATAGAATTTTGATCCCCTGAGGTGCCATTTTGGCCCTATTGACCATACTATTGATTAATGTTACGGATAAGAGATAGAAGATCACTTTAATTAAATGGCCTCCACGTTTTAAAGGCGCATCATGCAATAAAATATACAAGTACGTGCCTTTGTTCTATGCGGCTCTCTTCGAGAAGATGAAAACGTTTTCATATCGATCTCGGTATACAAATCAATAATTTCTTAAGAATCTAAATGACTCATTCTTACCCATAAGATGTATTCCAAAGCCTCGTGTTGAGGAAGATAAACGTATATGATGGATATGATGTTATAACCACGTTTGATTTAATACAATTAGTTAGAAAACTATTAGATGTGTTTAGATGGTCCACTGTTTAGAAATTTTTTTTCTCTCCCTATCTCTTTCGACCGACGATTTCTCTTTTTGGAAAATGCCTCGGTTTTCGTTTTCTTCATCCAGATCGCGTCTTAGCAGATACAAACCTGTAAATGTCAAATAACTGTAGAGAGCATATGATTTCAATGTCTGTTATAAGTTTTTTTTTTTTTTATCGAAACAGATTGATATATCTATATCTTTATCACTATATAGAAGATTTGTTGTTTGAATTTTATTTTATATTATCGTGTAGCGTGAAAATTCAAAATTAGAATTCTAAAAATGTTGTGACCGCATGTTTAGTAATTTTCAAATCCCAGAAATTAGGGCTGAGCATGGGTCGGGTACCCTAAGTTTTTGGGGTATCCGGGCTTCGTCTTTATCTTCACACGTTTTCAGAAAACACTATCTCGTTTTGGTTTTTGTCAAATCCGGATACCCGTGGTTCGGATATCCGTCGCTGAATTTGATTATCCGAGGGTGTCCGAACCCGTCCAATTCTTTAGAAAATATTGATTTTTGTTGATTTTAAGGGTATTTTAGTAATTTAATATAAAAATATTTTTAATAATTATTGTAAATATATCAAAATATCAGGGATATAATCGTCATTTTATTCGTATACGGAGATCCGAGGGTACCCGTCGCCGTTCAAACAAAACTCGGACTCGAACTCGCAATCCAGATTTTTGGCTTCATCAAACCCGTTTTCGTCTTCGTTATATAGAGAGTATCCGTGTTCCAAATATCCGTGAGATCAGATACCCGAAAACCCGCAGGTTTCAAGTACCGCGCCCACCCCTACCAAAAATATATACATGTTACATGGATCTTATGCATTAAAATCCAACTCACAGGTGCTGAATGCGCATACTTAAGCTTTCCCATGCAGCATTCATGCGGATTGGGTCCATCATTATGTTTCCTTACCCTTTTTTTTTTCAAATTTATCTTCCCTTTTTTAAAATTTTTTCTGTATTTTATATTTGGAAAGGAAGTTATATAAATTTTGACTACCGATTGCGTTTTAATATTTTCGGAGTAAAAAACGAAATTTGGTAAGTGAAATTTTTTATTATTTGACCAAATATGGACTGGAGAATTTGCGAGAAAGATCCCCATCCCATGCCATACTCCACACCACACACAACCTGTAAACGTGGTCGGCGTCGCTCACGTTCATATGAATTCAACGCGTTTTGACTTCGCCCCCCTATTTTCATAAGTTCTCAGTTTTGGCCCCATATTTATGAAGCCATTAATTTAGATCCCATATTCAACTTAACAGGCTCCATGAATGTTTTTTTTATATATTATTATTATATTAATGTATACGGCTACTTTTTTGTTGACATGGTAGGGCTTATTAGATAATCAATATAGCTATTATGAAGTGGTTCGAAATGGTATATTTTATATCAAATAATACTTTCTGGAAGAAACGATATATAAATTACATTTAATGAATTAAATATTAATATATAATAGTTAAGAAGGTGACCGATAAAAATTCGTTTAGATGGAAATGTGATATTTTCCCTTAGTGTATGCTATTAGAAAAAAAAATGACGATAATATTATTTTGTATACGCAAGGGAGGTTATTTCCCGAGCTAGGGACAGAAAGTCTTTCTGATGCACAAAACTGCATATTTCAGCATCAAAAAAGTTATATATAAATGATTTCTTTTGCAAATTAAGCAAAAAGTCACATTATTTTGATTGAATACTATATGCTTAAACAATCGTATTAGACTTTTCAGCCATGACTTGGCCAATTTTCATTAAATGTGACCGTGCCCATGCAACCGTGAACAATTAAAGAAGCGAGGATGGCATTCTGGTAAATTCCCCACACGTATACGGGCAATTAGCGAATTGTCTTGGATTATAAAACGTGCCCTCCATGGTTATTATACAAAAAACATGCATGGTGTTCTAAAACAGAACATTCTAGTAAAATAAAAAGCTTCCAACAGATATGTCTGCTAAGGTTTCAATTCTCCAAACCCTAACCTTCTTCTTCTACCGGTTTGTTCTCCGGCGAAACCCTAAACCAAAGCACCAGAGATGCTATTCTTCGCTTCAGCGTGAAGACATCTCGAACCACACCTTCATCTTCAACCTCGAAGGAGCCCTGTTGAAATCGGAGTCCCTCTTCCCTTACTTCATGCTCGTGGCCTTCGAGGCCGGAGGGGTAATAAGGTCATTTATCCTGCTTATGCTCTACCCTTTGATCTGCACGATGCGCTACGAAATGGGCATGAAGGTGATGGTAATGGTTAGCTTCTTTGGGGTGAAAAGTGAGAGCTTTAGGGTTGGAAAGGCGGTTCTTCCCAAGTTCTTCCTGGAAGATGTCGGGTTAGAGATGTTTGAGGTTTTGAGGAGAGCAGGGAAGAGGATTTGTGTGAGTGATCTTCCACAAGTTATGATTGAAGGGTTCTTGAAAGATTACATGGATATTGAAGTTGTGATTGGGAGAGAGATGAAGGAATTTTGCGGATATTTTGTTGGAACAATGGAGGATAAGAAGAAATACTATGATGTCTCCGTTGAAGAATGTCTTCGACAAGAGAGGTTAAGTGGTGGTAATGTTATTGGCATCACTTCCTTCAATAAGTCCATTCATCATCCCCTCTTCTCCCGTTGCCTGGTGAGCCTCACAATCCATATTAATCGGTCGATCAATGGAATTTTATATTCAATATCATATCTAATTAATCAAATATTATATGTTTAAATCTATTCCGATTCAGTTCACATGGTCGTTAATTCCTTAGTTTCTATTCAATTCCAGATTCTAAACAACCCATTAATTCACATGGTTATTAGTTGCAACATTTATTAAACAACAGCATATATAGACTATCGAAATCCTTGCATTACGTAGTATCACATGATCATTACAAAAACGTGCTTAGTTTTTATTATAAAGAGCAAATACCTCACATTATAGTTAGTAATTTTAGAGAATATTTAAATAACTCTATCATTTCTCTATTAATTCCTGGCTCTATCATTTCTTGTTTCCAACATTATCATATGTGCTGCGCAGCTATTGGAAAATTGTTCCGTAATATGGACCGTATGTACCAAATCATATGGAAACAAATATCAGTATGAATTAAATGCGTAAATGTATTATTAAATGATACGGTTAGAAGTTCAACAGATTTCATTTGGGTTCGCGTGAGATACCCAACTTGTGAGAAAATAACATAGATGATGACGCCGATATTATCATCTTTTATTCAACGGTCCTACTATGGTAACGATTCAAGTTAGATAACCTAATTATTACTACGTGCGTCAAAATCTGGTTGATACGACGACCAAAAGAAACTGATTCTTGTCTGGTTTTCCAACATGTAACAGGAGGTCTACTTCGTCAAAAGTGGAACCAAAAGAAATTGGCAAACCCTACCGAGAGACAAGTACCCCAAGCCTTTGATTTTCCACGACGGTCGCCTCGTTACAAGACCAACTCCTTTAACCACTCTCGTCCTATTCATGTGGGCTCCTATGGCTGTGGTCGTGGTCATGGCTAGAGGGGTAATTGGCCTGACCCTGCCTTATCCAGCGGCCACGCCTCTCCTCGCATTCTCCGGCTTCCGTTTAACCCTCACCGTTAATGCCCTGGCTCTGTCTTCTCGCTATAAAAACAACCGAAAAGGCTGTCTCTTTGTGTGTAACCATAGGACATTGTTCGACCCTCTTTACCTTTCTTTCGCTCTCAAGAAGAAAAAACTCACCGCCGTCACGTACAGTTTGAGTAGGGTTTCTGAGATTTTGGCACCGATCAGGACCATGCGTTTGAGCCGCGACCGCAAACGCGACGGCGAGATGATGGACAGGTTGTTGAAGCAAGGAGATCTCGTGGTTTGTCCTGAAGGGACAACGTGCAGAGAACCTTATCTGCTTAGGTTTAGTCCTCTTTTTGCCGAGATCAGTGACGTCATCATTCCGGTTGCCGTTAACTCCCACGTGACCTTCTTTCACGGCACGACGGCTAGTGGGCTCAAGGCCTTTGACCCGCTTTTCTTCCTCATGGACCCTTTTCCGTCCTACACCGTCCGATTACTTGACCCCGTTCCCGGGTTGTCCACGTGTCGACATCATGAGGAGAGAGAGAAGTTCGAGGTGGCTAATCGCGTGCAGAGCGTGATGGGGAAGGCCTTGGGGTTCGAGTGCACCAATTTCACCCGAAGAGACAAGTACTTGATCTTGGCCGGTAACAATGGTCTGGTCACCAAAAATTAAATCGAATAATTATAGGGTTTATAGTTTTTTTTTCCTCGTCTCGGATTTATAGGGTAAAATCCGAGTCCTAAAAAACCTATAAACCCTAAGAATTACCAATATATATCGATTTCCTCGTCAACCGGTTTCAAAGTGTAGTTAATGCTTTAATTTTTTTTAAACGTTATTTGTATAGGAAAATGTAACTATCTTTTTGTAATATCACACGTGTGTAATATTGGGTACATAACTTTACCTCGTCACGGATCTTTATATACTTCATTTTTATGTTTCGCATTTTGATTCGTCTAATTCGTTATCTACCGATCGGATTCTACAACAATCATAGCCAAATGCTAATTAGTTTTTTAACAAAAAAAAAACTATTAATTTGATCCAACAAATACGGTCTGAAAGTACAAGAAAAAAGTTCTTACAAGTTAAAGAGTTCTGTTTTCCTAAGAACACGAGGCCATGGTTTGTTAGTAGAACTAGTTGAATTAATCCGACAGGATTAAAATACGAAGTTAAGAGCGCGAAAATAAATAATACAAATATAAGAATTATTTGCCTTTTTATTCGTGGTTACCTTTTTTGGACGTCGTTTTCATTTTCATCTGCGACCCCAGTGGATAAGGCCAAAAGAGGGCTTGAATTAACTCCCCGTCATGTTGCGAGGGCCACATCTATGTGTGCCCGTCATTACGCTGTGCGACATTTTTTGTCTGTTCTTAAAAATACATACTTTAAATCCTGATTAATAATTGAATCCAAAATTATTTTTTCACAGGATAATGAAAGATTTACTTTTTTGTATATTTTGCACGTTGATTGTGTGAATCTATGAGAAATTTACTAGGAAGATGAGATCCAATCAATTGGGCTACTATACGTCCGTTCGTATATTTTTTACGATTAGGTTATCATATAGCACATGTGAAAAGGAGAAAGAGAGGCGCAACCGGATGATGGATGGAGTCATGTCGGTCCATAATTCGAATACAGTTCACTTTCTTTTCCAACGAATAAATGAAGAGCCCCACACGAATGGGAAGATACACAAAAATAAAATAATAATATAATAATATTAACGGCTACGTGCTATATATATACGCTATTATACGTGAATAATTGAATAACTATATCGTATTTTTGTTTTATTTTTTGTTTAAAACTGCATTTGGTTGACAACACTACGGAGTATTAATTTGATTTTTCACTGATTTTTTTTGATGATTAGTAGTCCACGCGTTACTCGATCAATATATATATATATATATATATATATATATATATATATGACATGTTTAACTTTCAAAATCAGGAGATTGTATTTTATACAGATGTACAGATGATGCTCGTAGTAAAATGTAATTAATAGGACGTAGACATGCAAAACCATAAATAAATAAAACAACCAAAGATAAAATACGTATGCATGAATTATTCAAACGTATAAATTTTGCTAATGCCTTGCAATAAAGTTTCTGTGTTATAGTAAAACTCGATCTGACGTAATCTCACCAAGAATACATGCAGAGTCCTTATCTTCTTGATATCTGGATTGTCAAACACAGTGGTTGAGATATAAGTTTATTCTTTTCTTTCCCATTCATCTGATACGGGATAATTTTGACCATCTTTTTTTTTTTATAACGGAGGATCCCTATCTACTACCTTTCGGGCGCGCTGACTAGGTAAACCTTCGGCCCGGGAGCAACCTTTGTATATGGATCATATAAATCCAGAAATTACCTCCCTCTCCACCAGTCAGGAATCGAACACTCAACCTCAAGGTGGAGTTACCTCTTACCCCAAACTTGACCACTCGCCCACGATCTGTTGGGCAATTTTGACGATCCTTGCGATGTTTGAGATATGGATATGATAAATAATATTTTTTTTAAAAGAAATTAAAACCAGAGAGAGAGAGATCTTAGTATACATACTCTCTAAACCTAGATATGGTATAAGGAAAGTGAACGTACATGCATGTTAGATCGACATACGCGGTACATGCATTAAAATCAACCTCATGTATAATATACATAAGCTTCCCATGCAGCATCCATGCCGGTTTGGGTCCATTTCCCTTTTTCCATGTCTACGTTTATTTAATCTCCTTTCTATTTAATTTCAAGTTCCCTTTTTTTTTTGTATTGTGAATGTCCGACCCTTTTTGAACCCTATCATGGTTAAGGTGTTGTCGTTGTGACCTCTAGGTCAAGGGTTTGAGTCATGAAAGCAACCTCTAGGTCAAGGGTTTGAGTCATGAAAGCAGCCTCTTATAGAAAATATATGTGAAGAAAATGAGTATATAAAGTTTTACTTCCATGAAATTGTAAAATAAAACAACAACTCTATTTGAAATATATTAACAGAATCGATTACAAAGAACGAAAATACGAAGTTCCCTATAGTAATCATTGGATTCAACTATCTTCTAATATCAAATGAACGATTGCCCATTTATAGGTGGTAACAAAAGTTAAAAAAGGGTTTACAGAAATGTAATATATTACCGGATCGGACGTGACAAAACTGGGAAGTTCTTGAAAGATAATTAATTTAATAGACTGTCTCAATATTCAGGTTCGTGTCCGAAATTACAGGTTCATCGTCCCCATCCCATCCCACCAACCTGTAAACGTGGTCGGCGTCACTCATCGCGGTTTCATTAATGCGTTTTAACGGGTTTTTTTTACGTCGTCCTCACATTTTTATATTTTTCAGTTTTAGTCACTCTTCTAATCAATCTTCGTAATCTAACATTTTGTTTTTGACAATTTAAATTCTCAATTTTATAGATCTTTTCAATGAAAGAGAAGTTCCTATACTTGGCTTTCTTACAAATACATTAAAATATCGATTAGTGTAACATAATTAAATGACCATTTTTTCCCTATATGTTAACATAGTTCTATGATCAAATTGATTAGATCTTTTATAGGGGGTATATATATATATGGATATTCCATATGGGTTTAATAGATTAGTAACTATAAAGAATTCCAAACGGTGAAATGCATACTTAAATTCAAATAACGTATGCGGAATTTAATTTGGGGAAAGGATGCTGTTTTCTTTATTAAGTTATACGTGTATATACTCATAAAATATCAAAGTCGAGAGTTTGACTTTATTATTTTTTATATTAAAATAACAAGGAATCCGTTCGGAGAGTGCAACACGCAGCAATGCACGGATCTCCATCAACATCGACTTTTCTTAACTCTGATATTAGAAAGTATGACATGACCGTGAATATATATGATTCGTGGAAATAATTCGAGAAAAAGTATATAAACATTAAGGGAAAAAACTTTCCCTTGTATACTTTTTTCCTTTAATAAAAATTACCCTTTTATATTATATTATAATATATATATAAGGATCCGCATGAAAGTAGATTAAGCAGAAGCAGTACATATATATGTACCTTCATCTAACCTTTGAAATCAAGGCCGCAGCTTTGACTCATTTATCACTTAACTCGTTCTAAATTACTCGGCGTATACTTTTCCAATACACTATTACATGTGTGCACTTGGTAATCTCATTTAATATGATCATGCAGCTGTACGTGAACATGAACAAACAAGCCACGGTCTATGGCATTCTTGTAAATCCCCCACATGTACAAGGGTATTTCCGGTCTCCCATTCGCTATATAAAGTGTCCCTAGCTCCTTTGTTCTTCAAAATGCATGTGGTATGCTTGCAAGCTCTACAAAACATTCCAGAGAAAGAAAAAATGTCCACCAAGATTCCCATTTTCGCAGCCCTTATCTCCTTGTTCTCCCGATTTGTTCTCCGGCGATATCGAAACCTTAAGCCGAAATACCAGAAATGCTCTTCTTTGCCCCGGCAAATCGATCTCTCACACCATACATTGATCTTCAACGTGGAAGGAGCCCTGTTGAAATCGGAGTCTCTCTTCCCTTACTTCATGCTCGTGGCCTTCGAGGCCGGAGGGGTAATGAGGTCGTTTATCCTCCTCGTTCTTTACCCTTTAATCTGTGTTATGAACGCCGAAATGGGCATGAAGGCGATGGTAATGGTTAGCTTCTTCGGGGTGAAAAGTAAGAGCTTCAGAGCAGGAAGGGCGGTCCTTCCCAAGTTCTTCCTTGAAGATGTCGGGATGGAGATGTTCGAGGTTTTGAGGAGAGCGAGGAATAGAGTCGGAGTGAGCGATCTTCCACAAGTTATGATTGAAGGGTTCTTGAAAGATTACTTGGAGATTGATGTCGTGATCGGGAGAGAGATGAAGGAGTTTTGTGGATTCTTCGTTGGATTGATGGAGGACAGGAAGACAAACGATGAATCGATGTTTTCGCAAGAGAAGCTAAGTTGTGGCAATGTTGTCGGCATCACTTCCTTGAGCAGGCCCCTTCACCATTATAATCTCTTCTCTCATTGTCAGGTTAGCCTCTCTAAACCATAAATTAAGATCGGTCCAAAAACAATATTTAGAAAAATTCGAATACAATTGTCTTGGTAATTAAGTATTATAACCATCAACAAAACCACATTAGCGTAGAATATTAATGAGATATGAACCAATCAATTCATGTTTTCAATTGGTCTATGTTTTAGAACATGTACGTACACAAACTCTTAAACTAACTCGTTAATCGCTACATTTATTTAGAAAGAAACAATATTGCGTATAAAATAACGTGAGATACTGAAACTTGAATATAAAGTATTTTGTCTCGACACATGGATTCAATTTGACGACGTGCATATCCGAACTCTTTGATAGGTAGAGAGAGCTTCATTAACCAAACTGAACTCTGTCTTCCTGTGTTAATTATGTTGCCAAAATCTTGAACAGGAAATTTACTTCGTGAGGAATTGCGACAAAAGAAACTGGCAAACCCTACCACGAAACTCCTATCCCGAACCGCTCACCTTCCACGACGGTCGGCTCGCTATCAAACCAACCCCTTTGAGCTCTTTGGCTCTCTTCATGTGGGCCCCATTCGCTGTAGCGGCCTCCATAGCCAGACTCGTTATTGCCCTCACCGTCCCCTTCGCTGCCTCCATCCCCTTACTCTCCTTCTCCGGCCTTCGTCTCACGGTCGCCATTAATGGAGGCCGTGACCAGACCAACGGAAAAGGTTGTCTCTTTGTGTGTAACCATAGGACATTGTTAGACCCACTTTACATTTCTTTCGCTCTCAAGAAGAAAAACATGTCCGCCGTCACGTACAGTCTGAGTAGGGTTTCCGAGATTTTGGCACCGATCAGGACCGTGCGTTTGAACCGCGACCGCAAACGCGACGGCGAGACGATGGGCAGGTTGTTGAAGCAAGGAGATCTCGTGGTTTGTCCTGAAGGGACAACGTGCAGGGAACCTTATCTACTTAGGTTTAGTCCTCTTTTCGCGGAGATCAGTGACGTCATCATTCCGGTTGCCGTTGACTCCCACGTGACCTTCTTTCACGGCACGACGGCCAGTGGGCTCAAGGCCTTTGACCCGCTTTTCTTCCTCATGGACCCTTCTCCGTCCTACACCGTCCGATTGCTTGACCCCGTTCCCGGGTTGTCCACGTGTCAAGATCCTGACGGGAGAGCAAAGTTCGAGGTGGCTAATCACGTGCAGAGGGAGATCGGGAAGGTCTTGGGTTTCGAGTGCACCAACCTCACCAGAAGAGACAAGTACTTGATCTTGGCCGGTAACAATGGCATCGTTGGCAAAAATTAGATTTATTTTTGGTAAATAATCAAAATTGTTAGGAGTTGATATTTTAAGCGATTATACTTTGATGTCCTTGTGAAACCGTAGTTGGAGTTGTAATCGATGTTTTATTTGACCAATCTTATAGACAGATATTCTTAAATCTTTTTTTTTTTTTGTAATATTACACACTCACACACATTATATATTAATAAACATCTACAAAATAATGGCTGATAATGGTATATATGTAATGATAAAGATAAAATACGATCCACTTTATAGAAAATCTATAAATAAAATAACTCAGATATTAATTGGTCAGAGATAAATTTATATAGCTATATATATGTATATGTATCTTAATGATAAAATAATCATGCCTAAACACACGATTCATGGAGGCATCATGTGACCGCGCGCGTGTTGCCAAATATCATATACCGTGTTTATACAACTTGTGACAAAACAAAAGCTGATAGGATCATATGTATATATATATATATATATATATATATACACCTAAATTAGATTCGCAATCACGTGATTGGCTGTTTAGAATTTAATTAACGAAAAAAATCTACTAGAAAAAGTTGATGATGACCCCATTATAAAATTAATAAATAAATAAATTTAATACTGCTAAATTACCAAAAGTATTGTATGAATTTCTAAATTAAGTCGCCATCTCCGTTAATTGCGGGGGAGTTCCAATCATCTTCCCACCTAACCAACATTAATGCTAATGAATTCTCTTTCACAATCTCCAAATGTATAGTGCTTGCCCTTTCATTTTATTTTTCTTCACAAAAAAAAAAAATCAAATGAAAAAAAGGGTTCATATTAGCACGGCTTTCATTAGGGAAAAAACATGCAGTTGCAACACATATATAAAACATTTACATATAAAATATTGGTTTCACATCTAAACTACATTTATATAATTTTTTTTATATATATATGACCCAAGAAACCAAATTAATATATTCTCTTATTTTTATCTTACTATAGATATTCCGATAACAAAATTTATAGTCTCGTTTTATAATATATGATAGTGACATCATAAAATTCTTAATATATGGTTATGTATGTAAATATATCTTATTGATTAAAATATTTTGAAAATGAATTCATCATAGATAATTCTTATGTATTAATTTTAGTTTCATGCATTTTGTTAGGCGGCCTAGTGAATTCTATCGTAGAATTATCAAATAAAGTGGATACAAATACAAATTTACCAATTGGACATGACAGTCGCAAACTGTTGTTACAAATTTAAATGAACGATGTATCTGATTAATGGGCTGGGCCGTCAAAACATTGGTTTTATAAACGGGCCTTTAGATGGCCTCGTGTTTATAAATCGAGGGACCTTAATGCAATATCCTTTAAAATCGAGGAACCTTTGCTAAATCATATGAAATCCAGAGACCGTTCCACAAATTCTCGAATCTTCTTCACCGTCCTTCAGGCCTCACACCATGAGTTCCACATATTAAAACCCTAGCTCATTTCTCTGACTTTCCGACGGTGGGTTTTGGATTTCGGTTCGTGAATTTTCAGTTATTTCTCTTGGGTTACTATTTCTCGAGGAGATGGGTACCGAGAGAAAGAGGAAGGTGAGCCTGTTCGATGTTGTGGATGAGCCATCGGTGAAGATGGCGAAACCGAACGGCGGCGATGTCGGAAGCAGTTTGATAAACAAGTGGACGGGTAGGCCATACACTCCGAAGTACTTTGAGATTCTGGAGAAGAGGAAGACATTGCCGGTTTGGCAGCAGAAAGAGGAGTTCCTGCAGGTTCTCAATGCCAATCAGACGATTATCCTCGTCGGTGAAACCGGAAGTGGTAAAACTACCCAGGTTGGGCTCTCAAAACTTATCTGCTCTTGTCGAGAATCATATTATATAGGAAAGGAACGATGTATAATTCGAGTTTCTGTACCTGGGTTTGAATGATTCAACACTAGGTTGAGGTTATTTGCATTCAGTGCTCATGGGTTATTTAGGATGACATTCTTCCTTTTTTTTATTAAGGGACCTACTTTGGTTGAGGGTTTCAAATTTTTATTGTCAAGTAAAACTCTTTGCGGATGCCTCAAAATCGTTCGGTGCCTTTTGCTTGAAATTTACTGGATCGCATTAAGAACGATTGCCAATATGTTCATCTCGGGCTCACTTGGAAGTTAAAAGGAGATAAACTGGAGTTTCATTCCTATCCAAGTGTTTGATCCCTCACCTTACAGGAGAATGGCGTGAATTAATCTTTCCAGAATATAGGAAAGGTTATAGTGCACCCTGGAATTATCATCTGCTGTGCTTGTGGTTGTCTTTTGACATGTTTCAACGGTCTTTGGTTGTTCCTTCAACAATTATCTTTATATAAAGAATTCCTTTTGCTATTTTGCAGATCCCCCAGTTCGTTTTGGATGCTGTTAATGTGGAAACTGCGGATAAACGGAGGAAATGGCTAGTTGGATGCACCCAACCACGTAGGGTGGCTGCAATGTCTGTTTCTAGACGTGTGGCGGAAGAGATGGATGTCACTATCGGTGAAGAGGTTGGTTATAGCATCCGTTTTGAGGACTGCAGTGGCGCAAGAACCGTTTTGAAGTGAGTCTTTTTCTTACCAATTTAACCTGCTGCATATTAGATCTTTTGATTTGTCTTGTCTGATGATATATCTCTTTAAAATTGGATATCTCATCATTTTTTTCTGTGGTTTTGGCAGGTATCTTACAGATGGTATGCTTTTGAGAGAAGCAATGGCAGACCCACTTTTGGAACGTTACAAGGTAATTATTCTTGATGAGGCCCATGAGAGGACCTTGGCTACAGATGTTCTGTTTGGTTTGCTGAAAGAGGTGCTGAAAAATAGACCGGATCTCAAACTAGTCGTCATGAGTGCTACTCTCGAGGCTGAAAAGTTCCAAGAATATTTCAGTGGAGCACCTCTGATGAAGGTTCCTGGTAGGCTACATCCGGTCGAGATTTTCTATACCCAAGAACCTGAAAGGGACTACTTGGAAGCAGCCATTCGAACTGTTGTGCAGATTCATATGTGTGAGCCTCCTGGTGACATTCTTGTCTTCCTAACCGGGGAAGAGGAGATAGAGGATGCCTGCAGAAAAATAAATAGAGAAGTTTCAAACATTGGGGACCAGGTCGGACCTGTTAAAGTTGTGCCTCTTTACTCTACGCTTCCTCCAGCTATGCAGCAAAAGATTTTCGAATCTGCCCCTCCTCCCTCGACAGAAGATGGTCCTCCTGGTAGAAAAATTGTGGTTTCTACGAACATTGCCGAAACTTCTCTGACTATTGATGGGATTGTGTATGTTATTGATCCGGGATTTTCAAAACAAAAGGTTTACAATCCAAGAATCCGTGTCGAGTCACTACTGGTATCCCCGATATCTCAAGCGAGTGCACACCAGAGATCTGGTCGTGCTGGAAGAACCCGACCGGGGAAATGTTTCAGGCTTTACACAGAAAAAAGTTTCCAAAATGATCTTCAGGCACAGACCTACCCAGAAATATTGCGATCAAATCTTGCGAATACAGTGCTGACTCTGAAAAAGCTGGGGATAGATGATCTGGTGCATTTTGATTTTATGGACCCTCCTGCACCGGAGACGCTGATGCGAGCATTAGAGGTGCTGAATTACTTGGGAGCATTGGATGACGAAGGGAACTTGACAAAGCTGGGTGAGATAATGAGTGAATTTCCCTTGGACCCGCAGATGGCAAAGATGCTTATTGTCAGCCCTGAATTCAACTGTTCAAATGAGATTCTATCGATATCAGCAATGTTGTCAAGTAAGTTTTCTTCGCGTTTTTTGTTTGATTGATACTAGCATGTTTATGCAACTTTCTGTACAAGGAGTTAGCATCGGGTGGCAATGTAGGTTTTGGCATAGGCAGCTTTCCCTATCAGTTTGTTGTCTCTGACTTTGCATGCATGGTAACAATCTTTGTAGAACATAAAATTTACATGTGTACTTGTGTAGACGCTAAAAGCAATCTAATTAGGCTTCATTTAGGAAGTCTTTTGTTTTGGGTTCCATGCCTCCCCCAATTGGCATACACCATAGGATTTCTAAGTAAGTCCTGATGCAGATAGTTGCGGTTTCTCAGTAGTCTCTCTCATGAAGATAATGGATTCGTCTCGCCTATATGCATCGCTGACCACCTTCCATCGGCCTCTTCTGTGATAAACCAATTCTTTCTTTAGTACCCAATTGCTTTGTCCGCCCTAGGGAGGCCCAAAAAGCTGCAGATGAGGCAAAAGCTAGGTTTGGACACATTGATGGAGACCACCTCACCCTTTTGAACGTCTACCATGCATACAAGCAAAACAGTAAGCCATCTTCCTTCCCTTTTTTCCTCTTTTGGGTGGTTTTATATAAACTAAGATGCCATGAATGTGTGAACACTTCTTTCATTTGAAATGATGGCAGGTGAAGATCCAAACTGGTGCTACGAGAATTTTATCAACAACAGAGCCTTGAAATCTGCCGATAATGTGAGGCAACAGCTAGTGCGGATCATGGCCAGATATAACTTGAAGCTCTGCAGCACTGACTTCAACAGCCGAGACTACTATGTGAACATAAGAAAAGCCATGCTTGCGGGATACTTCATGCAGGTGGCTCATCTTGAACGGACTGGTCATTATCTGACAGTTAAAGACAACCAAGTATGTAAGAGGGTGCTCAGCCAAAACCTATGTATTGCATTCTACCATGTTGCTCTGATATATGTTAAATGATGTATGTTTTTTCCCTGGCAGGTGGTCCACTTGCATCCATCTAATTGCTTAGATCATAAACCAGAGTGGGTTATCTACAACGAGTATGTGTTGACTAGCAGGAATTTTATCCGCACAGTGACTGATATCAAGGGAGAATGGTAAGTACTTCTGCTTCTCTTTTCCGAAATCGGCAATGTAACTTTTCTATATCCTTGATCAATTTGTAATGCTCACATGGGAAAAAAATACCCATTTATTCGGATGCAGGCTGGTAGATGTAGCCCCACACTATTACGATCTAACAAATTTCCCAAACTGTGAGGCAAAACGAGTTCTTGAGAAACTGTACAAGAAGCGGGAGAGAGAAAAAGAGGAAAGCAGAAACAAGAGATGATGATAATGCTACTGCCCTTCATCATCATCATCATCATCTCATCTGGTTAAAAAATCCAGTTGTCCGTTACTAAACTCAATGGCAGTGTGAAGGAAGGAGGCAGGCATGATGATGATGGAGCCAAGAGGTGAAAGAGAGAGAATCAGCTATGCTTCTATATGTTTGTTAGCTTCTTACATGCCTGGAGGGCATTTGTACCTTCATTTAGTTCTTGAAGAGTTCGGTCTTGAGTCTCTACCATAAATGCTATAAACTAATCTCTTGTTTTCGATTGCCCTTCTATTTAAAATGTCTTTGATCGGACAAAGCCTGTGCCTTTGGTTTTTGCCTGGTTGTCTTTCTGTTATGACCGTGTCTTTGCCTCGATTCTTCTAATGTCCTACGTAGAACGTCAGAAATACGCCGACTTATATAACCTTTCACGGGAATTAAAAAAATACAGTTGTGGCTACGATTTTTTTTTTATCAATTCCTCCGTGAATCACTGAATCCGCCACGGGGAGATCCATTCGATATGGCGTCTCTGTCGATACCCACCGGAGGATTATCCGGAACCCTAGCTCCATTTTCGTCCACGAAAAATGGGTTATCTTGGATTTTCGACAAAGGCTCGAGATTTGTCTCTTTTCCCAATCGAAGCAGACCAATATCAGGAACGGCGGTCTCTTGTGCGTCGAACGAAGGCGTGGCTTCCACCGCTGCTTCTCCGGGGCTTTACTCGGCCCAGACCTTTGATCTGACACCTCAGAATGTCGACTTGGTTCTTGAAGATGTGAGGCCGTACCTGATCGCCGACGGAGGGAACGTCGATGTTGTCTCTGTTGAAGACGGCGTCGTTTCGCTCAAACTCCAAGGTTTGTTTTCCATTCTTTGGGGATGTCAGATCTATTGTTACTGATTTTTGTCCAAAAAGTTGAAAACTTTCGGTTCTTGGTTGACAGAATCTAGGAAATTTTCGCATCCATTGTTACTTGTTTCCGATGTTTGGATTCAAGGGTTTTTCTTATTCTCTGTGTTTGAGCGAAGAACAGCCAAAACTTAGTAACTTACTGGCTGTTCTTGCCTGCACTTCAAATCCGTAGAATCTAACTTAGCTTTGAGAAATGATGAGAAGCTTAATGTCCATGTCTTTACCTTTCCTTTCTCCATCTCTTCTGTATGGTTACTTAAGACATTTCTCTGAATATCTATGAACTTCGAGGAGAAAGGGTAATGGAAAAATCAGGTTATGGTGTCCATATTCTACCTATCTGAGGGTAGTGAACAGGTTGTATATATCATAAGCTTGTGTATGATGGTTTTGCCTGTTATTAGGAGCATGTGGTACCTGTCCGAGTTCAACCACAACCATGAAGATGGGTATAGAGAGAGTATTGAAGGAAAAGTTTGGAGATGCCGTGAAAGATATCCGGCAAGTCTTTGATGAGGACATGAACCAGACCACAACCGTCGAGGTGAGCCTCCTTAATATTTCTCTTCGTGCTCTTCTACATGTCGCCCTGTTCGCCTTCGAAGGTGAAATTGGCCAAAATATCCATAAACTTCCATGGTTTCAAACAACATAATCGGGATTCGCCCATCATTGTAGCCGGGGTATCTTAGGTTAAAAAGGGCAAGTATTAGCATCGAAATGAATATATAAATAATGCGGTGAATGTATTTCTTGAGTACAGGCAGTGAATGCACATCTCGATATACTAAGGCCGGCGATAAAGAACTACGGTGGAAGTGTGGAAGTTTTGAGTGTGGAAGGGGAGGATTGTGTTGTGAAGTACGTAGGACCAGAGTCTATTGGGATGGGAATACGAGCAGCCATCAAGGAGAAATTCAAAGACATATCTAGTGTTACTCTTACAAGCTAGAATATGCATGGACCGTAGGGCATTCATCATACTCAATGTGGAAGGAGGTACATTTTATTTGTATATTTGCATGTGTTGAAGAGGCAGTTTCCCTTGCAATACATGGTAGCTTGAACGTGAACTACTACAAGTACAAGCAAATATATGTGTATGTAATAATTCGAATCAATGGTCCGAATAGAAAGAGTTGTTGGGGTTTTAGTTGCAGATTTCTTATTATATAAGAATTAAACGTGCTTTTTTGTTGTTGTTGGAGGGTATTGAGAGAGAGAGAGAGAGAGTGGCTAATTGATGAGCCAAGTGTCTCCATCAACAAAATAAGTGCCGAGAAAAGGGATGGCCTCTTCGTCCGTCAGAACCCTTGCCCATGGTACCCGTCCTGTCATGTTCGCACCCGGTCCCTTGCACTTGTACTCCCCATAATACACCCTTCTGCTCATATATATGAACATGTATGATTATATATATATATCCATATACATTTATATAAAGATGCTGATATTGCCATAGAGATTGTGTGATGTTATTAACTATCGATATCGAGGGCTTACTGGTCGCGTTTCTGGTCACCCCAGTCGCTCCAACCTCGAGGGATGACGAGGTTGTCCATGAAAGTGTAGGAGAAGACTACTCGAGAGTAATCGCCCCATGCTCTCCCAAGGTATACTGTACCTGAACCTGTTACCAAACAGTCCTTGAACGAGAACCCACTTGCCAGTGAAGATATGGTCCGTTTTTGGGCAGTCAATGAGGCAACTTTCTTAGCCACCGAGTTCAAGTGGCAGTTCTGCAAAAATCCACATATAATTATGAATGGAGAGAAGAAGATATGACATGATATGATATGGGATAGTATATATATATATATACCTCGTAGAGAGAGGTACCATAACCAAAGATGAAATCGACAGAGCCTTGAATGAAGCAGTTGTTGAAGTAATGAAGGCCCTTGTGGTCGTATAAAGTGTCTTGTGATCCCATGAAGCTGCAATTGTAGAATGCTGTCTTCGTCCCCGACGCCCTCAGAGCCACTGCCTGCTCTCCCTCCCTCCCCACCTCGTGCATTGCTGTGTTCTGTCCCAGTCTCAAAACAAAACTTTTTATATCATGATCTATATATACAAAAGATCATGTTTCCATAAGAAATACATATGAACTAAACCATAACCTAAAAATGTCAAAACATGCGACAAATTTTAATTTATGCAATCCCTTTTTTTTTTGTCTAGTACTGTATGTTTTCACATGTGTCTACTCGTTTCGTGCGTATATAAGCATGCGCGTTTGTGTGTGTGTATATATATGATAAGTGTACACGTGTGTGTGTATATATATATACACACACACACACGAGTCAACCCGTGATGATCTAGTGTTCGGATTCTGCGGATATAAAGTATTTCTTTTTTTTGGGATGTTCGGAATGTCTCTAGCTGCAAGAGAATCTCTTCGGTGGGTTTTTTTTGTTGTTGTTGTTGTCTCTTTTTGTATATGCCGTTTGCGTGTATCTATACATACAGATCAGTATATTATACGCATTATAACCATATATTTGTTCTAACAAGACCATGACCGTATTTATTTTAGAATATGTGATCGGTTATATCGGATTAGTTTAGTGAGGTTAGGGTTTACTTAATTACATTTTCTCTACTTGTATTTAAAACATTTGTTCTTGGGGAGAAAAATACACATTTATTGTGTTAATCTCTAATACCTCGAATTTGATGTTAATGGCGACAAAATAATCTGCGTCGACGGCCACTGTTGGGCTACGGTAAGTCTTCAACGGCTTTCCGGTGTCATCGGAGACAACGGAGGCTGTGTCGTTTCCGGTGATCGTCGGTGGATCTTCTGAGTCTCCAAGAAACGTAACAAATGGCAACGTCTTCGGTACCAAAATCTTTTCCCTATATATATATATATATATATATATATAACCATGAACTTTTGAAACCATGCATAGAGGGAGATTCAAATTTTTAGGGTTTTAGACTAATTTGAAAACGAAAAATGTACCTATAAACACCGGGTTTGATGATGAGGACGACCCTCCTTTTGTTACGAGGAGGGATACTGCTAAGTGCGTCTTTGATGTTAGTGAAATCACCATTGCCATCTTGGCTCACGCTTATGCTCACTTTGTTCATCTCCGCTCTCCGAAGCTTCTCATCCATCTGTCTAGTTTCCCTCCCTGAGACCGACTCCATTGCTTTTCTACTTCGGTGGTTCTTCATGTTCCACCATACCCATCTCTCGAAATCCGCTTTCGAAGAAGAAGAAGACGAAGAGATGAAGTGAAGATTGACGTGGAGAGATACGAGGAAGAGAATGAATGTGAAGACCCGATGATTTGAGGCCATGAAGAGTGATATGAGAGTGCAAGTGTTTTCCTCTATTAATTTTGTGAAGGGTATACGCGTTTGTATTATATAGAAGACGTACCCTTGAATTTCATTACTGTTCTTATTATAAAAATATTTCCTTTTTTTAAAATTCCTATCGCTACATCATTTCGACTGTCATTGGGTCTCGTGTTACCCACAAGTATGTGTTTAGTTATATATATTGGTACGGCATGTGATGTTATTTACTACATCATCGCCAACGTAATGGCATAGATTATGACGTTAAGAACATCTCAGGCTCTTTAAATATGAAAACTAAGGAGAGATTCCCCCAAACAATTAGTAGGGAAAACAGAAACAATTATATATATATATATATATATATATATATATTGGAAATATTAAATTATTTTCCATCGATTGATGATGGCGATCGAGTACTACTGGAGCTGAATGTGGATATAGCTGTATTCCAATTAGATTCCTATCAATAACAAGATATGCATTTTCATGGTCGATATTGGAACTATTGTGTGCCCACGCAAATAAAATATATAGTCAATATTCACATACACATATATATCTACATGTACATGTTCACATTACACAAGCACGAACATGTATATATATGTGTATATGTAGTGTAGTGGTGGGTGCCCAAAGATTAGGCCACAGTTTATGATGTCCCAAATTTCGTGACTGCTCACATGCGATAGAGCTCTCTTCCATATATATTTTTCATAAAACTACATAATTCCCACTTCCTGATTTTTTTTCCCTTTCCTTTTCGTGATGGAGATTAGGTAAGGTCTCGAGCTAGAAATATTTTCCTCAATTTTTTTTAATAACCTACTTTATTTTTCTCCATATTCTATCAAAATAATATATCTGTTTAAATATTTGTTCATAATCCAAAACAACTACCAAATTTTTTAGATTCGGGAATATAGAGTGCTATATGTAATTTGACATTACGATTGCGATCCGCCATGGGGGTGTATAAAATAATTGCAAGAGTTTGGGGCCAATTAAGACAACAAAGTAAAAACTTTGGACCGAGTATGCAACGCGAAATTGGCGGGGCCCATGCCACGTACCAAAATAGTGGAGAAAACTCAAAGATGCTACATGGACCATCCGACGGTGGAAATTCGGACACACATCATTCTAAGTACAACGTGTCAATAATCTAATGGCTGCTTGGTGGAGAGTAGTGTGCGGGCCCATTTTCTGTAATCACTGCCCACTGATGATGTGGGCCTTTAATGGGCCCCAAAACTAATCCAATTTTTATTCTTGAAATTTCTAATATGGACTTTCAGTTTAAGGCCCAAAACCAATCTTGGTTAACTGAGCCCATATATCACCTCAAGTTTGGGAAAATCCATCATTTATTACATGCCTCCGTGATTCCTTCATGGATATTATTATAGATGCTACAAAAGGAAAGGAATCTCACAATTTTTAACTATAATCAATGATCGGATCCATCTTCTTTTCTCATTTCTCGCCAAAAAAAAAAATATACAAAATTCCGTTCGAAATGGCTCGCACCAGAAATCTGATAGTAATATATGCAGCCATCTTTCTCTTATGTGCCACCAACTCTGTTCAGGCAATACCGTACGGGTTCATAGAGAAATATATCTGTCCTGATTCTCCCGACATTGGCTTCTGTCTTGAGGCCTTTGGAAAAGACCCGAAAGTGCTAGAAGCAGACAGCCTTTTACTGACCGAGGTTCGAGCCCTCGAGATCGGTATCGACAAGATCCTCGACACTCTCAGCTACATCTACCTGATCCGAGGAGACATAGCCGATGGCATAGGTACCAGATTTCTTTCCCATGATCTTTCAGCTTTTTTTTTTTTGGTATGTAATGATTCAAACATGTAGAGTGTTTCGTTTTTAAAAAAAAAACAGGTCAGGGACGGATCAATGCATGTACGGAGAATTACAAGACGGCGGAGAAACAGTACCGTACGGCAGTGGAACAGGCGAAACAGGAGAAACTCAACGAGATGCTGAATTCCGTACAGGAGGCCAAGAACTCCATGTTCGAATGCGAGAATATCTACAAGAGCAATCCCATCAAACCCTCTCCCATTGAAGACTACACTGAAAAGGCCTTGACCATGACCGAGATCGTTTCCATCATCTACAAGATAATCATGGACGGTTGATTATCTTATCTCCTTAGGACAGACCCTTTTAAGCTCTGTAACTTGGACAGAAGTGGTTCTGCAATAAAAAAAATACATATAAAGACTATACGTATAGGTTTTGATGAAATCTATGTTGTTGGAACATTGTTCGAGAGCCATTCTAGCCCCTCGTGTAACCCTTCCCCGCTCAATGCGCATGAGGTCTGGACATGCCTACAATGCAAAACTCAACATAATCAGAGAACAGATTAAGGAGGAAGAATGTTCTTTTTTTTTGTTACAGGTTAGGTTTTTTTTTTACCAGTTTCTCTGACGAAGAGAAGAAAGGTTAAGCTTATGGGTGATCTCGGAAGAACTCATGGCATTAGGGTTCACATGCTTGTTGGCATATACAAGCACAGATACATCATCTGTTACATCACCCTGTTGCATTATTATATGCATCAGACATCTGTGAGAACGCAACTCGTCTGAAACTTTAAGACAGTTCTATTCTATGCTTACCTCTTCCAACACCATGTAAAGAAAGTCTCTTGCCTCTTCTATACGGTCTCTGTCAGTGCTGTCGACTACCAACACTAGCCCTTGCGTGTTCTGCAAGTGATGTTTCCACAGTGGACGAATCTGAAATGGTCGAAAGTTGAAACCCATCATCAGAGAAGTACTCTTTTCTGCAGAACAAACAAGATTCTTACCTTGTATCGCTGCTGACCACCGATTTCCCATAAGCTGAAGCTCTTATTCTTATATTTCACGCTCTCCACATTAAACCCTAAAAGTTACAGACATTGAAGCGAAATAAAGACAAGAACTTTCAGGAGACAATGGTGTGACATAGTTCAAAATCCTTACCAATGGTGGGGATGTCTGTGTCGAGAGTCTCTCCAGTTTTAAGCTTATGCAGAATGACCGACTTGCCGGTACCGTCCAAACCTATCATCACTATACGTCTTTCTTCTTCTTTTCGTGGAAACAATCCCCTAAACAGCTTTCCCATTTTCATCCCCATTTTACAGATTCTGCAACAAGTTCTGTACCAAGAAAGATAGAACGTGGATCACCAAACTCTACCTGAAACAAAGCAACACCAGGGAATGGACAAGATCTTTTAGATATGGAGAATTTGAAAGGAAGAGCTCGCACCTGAGATGGGAGGTCCTCAGGGCCACACAGAGAGAGAGAGAGAGAGAGAGTCAACCTTGTCGTCTCTAACTCTTTCCAGCCATGAAGGTTCCTTAGAGATCATGTCTGGATCAAGATCACATGTCAAAACATAAAATACTGCGGTTCCATTGACTCTTTTTGTTTAATCGTAAATCATTGTTTCACAAAGATAAAATACAATCAGCAATGATAAGTTTATCTTTGACGCATGATATCTGGAGGAGGGATGAATTATATAACATCTAACGTTTCTGCATTGATTTATTATTGATAAACACAGTCAAGATAAACCCTTCCATACACTATTCTGCACGAAATTTCAACATAGAGAACAGATGATACAACGTCTAAGACGTCATTCAAACTCTGTTTATCCATCCTTTTCCTTAGGATGAGGACGACGAGGAGAGCACATCAATTCTGCCACCAGTCATCCTCTCTGCATCTTCTCCGCGCTCACCTGACAAAATGTTGTCGGTCCAAATTCACATTACATCATTTAAAGAACATACAGTGATTAGTTTTTTTTCGAAAGGAAAGGCTGCTGATATTACCTGTCCGGACCCGTATGACATCTGAAACAGGCAAAACTGTGCAACCGAACAAGAACTAGTTAGCAGTTTCCCAATTGTACTCTTTTTGCTATGGTTCGCGATTGGACAACGAAAACTAGACGTGTATAATAATAACTGGATCTCAAGAAAGGAAGCTGACCGAAAATTTTGCCATCTCCAATCTCTCCTGTTCTCGCTCCATCAATTATTGTATCTATCACCGACTCCACCTGCAGTAAGTAAGATGGATTTAGCAACGGACTTTGGTCCAACTCGTACTGGCTGAAAAGTTTCATTTTGTCATACGCACTTGGTCCTTCTTAACGACGATTTCCATTTTAACTTTAGCAACAAACTTGTCTTCTGAGAACTCAGAACCTGCAAAATCAGCATTGCACGATATGCAGCCATGAACACGGTTGAAAAACTATTCAGATAATCTAGGAAGAAAGAACTTACCACCATGCCTCTCGGTAGAACCACCTTGTGCACCAAAACCTCGAACATCCGAGACAGTAACACCCCGAATGCCAATTTTTAGTAAAGCCTTAAAATTTTATAAAAACGGGGACCAGATCAGTAGGAATTTTCAAAAGTATTGCAACTGGAAATTTGGCTAGCTATCATCAAATCAGCCACAAAGAAAGAAATAGCAATTTGCAGCAAGCCAAAGACAACTTGGAACATCCTGATTCTAGGAGAAGAAGATCAAACGTTCCCATCATCGTTCTGTTTGTGTAAATGGACAACTTCAGCTAAACCCACATCTTAAACGCTGTAAATAGAGCAGTTGACCGGCCCTATATCGACATCTGAAACATAGGACTTGTAGGATGGTAAATCCATGTGACAAAAAGATTTGATCTTTGCATGAATTGGACAAAATTGTGTCAACCCATTTGAACTTGAATCATCTCTTTTGAAGATATAACTCCAACCCTCTGCTTTTACCAAAACTTTCAACTAGATGATAAACCTTATCCAGAAGTAGCACTCTATGTAAATCCTATGCTGAAAGTTTGACACCACTTGAGGCAGAATCTTACGAAGAGGGACATGGAGAAATAAACAAAGTTTAAGCTTTTCACATACAGAAATTCCCAATCTTACCGAGGAAACATGCTGGATTCTCCATGGCCTTTCCCAGTCCAAGAATTCAAACAAAATAATGAACAAAATGTGTTAGATTCCACCTAGAAACAGGCTCCCCCTCCCGCACAACAGCGACATTGAGCATTAGTTCCTCTTTTAATCAACCATCACCTTTTCACTGTTTAAACAGATGGAAACAGCAAAGATATAATAAAAGAATCTGCTTGAACCTGATAATTGCCTCCACCTTGTAGAACTTCGAGTCTGGAATGTAATCTGTAACCGAAGGAACGGTGTGAAATTAAAAACGAATAGAGGCGAAAGAAAATCCCAAATAGTCAAAACCGAACAACCATTTCTTACCAGGAGAGCTTTGGGCTCTAACAGGGGGGACAAATGGAGTGCTTCTGGCCGATTTTAGCACCGAACGGAACCAGCAAGGGCGAGAATGTCGGAACCCAGAAAATATTGAAATGCAATCCGAGAAAGTCGTGGTTTTTCGATCAGAACAGAATTGGAGAGGAGTTGCGGAGATGGGTTTCGCCATTGACGCCATGAATTATCGCCTCAATCAAGAGAGAAGCACTGAATTTCCGTTTCTAAGTTCTAACCGACTGACCCCGACCAGGAATAGAAGAAATAGAACTTCGAAGTTGACGAGTTTAGTTCGCTTTAACCTCAGTAGGAAGAACCGGTTCAGTTCGGTTTTGTACAGTCCAGGGTCCGGTTCGGCCTAACGGCATCTAAACCGGTTCAGTACCGATGGTTGCTTTCATCTCGGTAAACCCGATCAGGTCTCTCTCTCTAGCTCTACACGATTCTTTAACCCTTTTTTTCTCCGTATGAATATCAGATTTCGTCTGGGTGCTAACGAAACGATGGCAAGGGTCGAATTTGTATCCTTTCGTTGAGAAATTTGCTTGAATTTCAGTACAAAGAGTTCTTTTTTTCACAAGAAAATCGAAAAGCCCGACACTTTCTTACTATGGAACTCGAAAACCAGAGGAGAGCCCTTGCTCCCTTAAACACGACCTTTCACGGGTCATGACTAGAACCCATGTTCAGTGGACAAGCTGGAAGCTTTGTCTTCATAATAGCTGTGCTTTAGGCTTTGTATGGAGATTAGTGGCTTGGCTCTATTCATGTTCGAAAACATAGAACCGAAGAAAGAAGTGAAAGAAAGAGGCAAAGAGAGATGAGATGAAATGTAGACAGACATCTACAAGTTGCTTCAAGGGTTCGGTTTCTAGTCCAGATTTGTATCTTCACCTCAGTTTTCCCACCGACGACGAGGACGACAACAGTACTGATTTCACAACAATGGAAGCAAAGGTTTGACTGACAATCAAAAGACAGATACAAACATTGAGTGATTTAATACTCTCTTGTGTTAATTTCACAGCTTAAGGTTGAGGTCTAAACCATTTTTTTCTCTTCTCTCCTTCTCCTCCTCCTCTTCTTCCATCGCCGGTGATTTCGTGCACTCCTCCCGCCGGAATGCAGGGTTCATTCCCGGCGGCGGCCGCTCTCTGGCTTCGGATCTCACCGATCGCTTCTTCTGCTCGCCCGAATATTCCGTTTTGTATTCTCTTCGCCGTTTGCGAACCTCCTGGTAGTTCCTGATCAGCCTGAAGAACATCTCCATCTTCTTTTCCTCTTCCTCCTCCTCCTCTTCTTCTTCTTCGATTCTAGTGTTTTCCATATCTCCCTCTCTTTGTCTCTCTCTCTTTCCTCAGGCCATTGGAGAAACTGCAAAAACCCTGCATACATACATATGCATATATATATACACACACACACACGAATGCGTATGTCTTGAGAAAAATGGAGCGAGACGTGTATGTGACGTACCTTCTTCTTTTTCTTCTTCTTCGCAAGTGACTGACGAGGAAGGCATTCCTCGGATTCTGATATAATAATAATGGAGAAGTGAGAATGTCTACGTTACGTCACGGACCTTTCCTAAATTTACCAAAATGCCCTTCGCCTTAATACACGTTTCCCAGATTGGATTTCCGTGAAATGCCCTATTAATGTCACCAGATTTCTTCAACCCCTTCACATAATAGAGTCAGTTCGGTGAGAGGGAGGGACCCACGTGGGGGGCAAAAATGTAAAAACGCGAGGAGGCGGAGATGCCCGATGTTTGCGTCAGCCGATGGCTTTCAAGGAGAACTTTGCTGACGTCATCCTTCTGACGTCATCGTTCTCTCGATTAAAAAACGCATACGGATAGACTTCTCGTTTACTTTAGAAACAGATCAAAAGAGAGGAAAAAAGAGTCGCGAGAGATACAATCGAGTGCACACAGACGCAAAGTACGATGGAATCATATGGACCGTTGGATCGTCTGAATAAATATTGGTAAAATATGTTAATGTAATGATGATTAATTGACGAAATGCGAAGAAATTTATAATAGAAAAAGGTTGATGTGATCAATTGCATCTTGTCGGCCACTTCCTCTGTTTTTTTTGTCTATTGTTAATTTCATTTAGAGACATTGCGTCACCAATTAAGAAATTTATCATTCGTGTGGAATATTTGTTATTTCTTCCGTGGATTTCATTCCAAGTGGGGCTATCTTTTTTTTTCCCATTGCTATAAATTTTATTTTTGTTTAAGTTCCACCATAATATATATATATATATATATGTGTATATATATAAAGTGTTTGTATTATGAAAACCAAAAACAAAATTAGACACGAGTATTCAAATTTATTTCTTGTTCAGTTAGGGAAAATATTGGGTTGTCCGTTGTTGTGAGGTAGGACGGCCCAATGGGCTTCCCAGTTGTGTTTAGCCCAATCTTGTTACGAAACTGGGCCTTGGTCTTAGTGATACTTTTTTTTTTTTCTCTTGGTCTCTGCGTTCATGCTAAAATTTTGAACACGTCCTTCCTGTTCGTTATAAAATCGGTTTATATCTTTAAACAAGTTGTCATCCTACATAACGACTCGCGAATTAAATATATAATTTTTTTTAAATTAAATATTTAAAATATTATAAAATAGAAAAAATAAAATTTAAATGAAACAAACTAAATATTTAATAAAAATATATCTTTTATAAAAAACATTTAAAAAATAAAAAAATAGATATATATATTTTGTTGTTTGCGAGTCAGTTCGTCATTAGTTGACTCGTTCGTCTCGTTTTTTTTTTGTAGATTCAAATATTCTGAATTTGATTCGCTCGCAAAACATGTCATGAAGCGAACTCGTTTTACATCTCTATACAAAAAAATTATATAATGTAAATGTATTTTTTTAGTATAAGGATCCAGATTGGCACGTAAATCAAGTGTAACTGCATAGAGAAAATAAAGCCCGATCGAGGCTAAACAATAAAATAATTGCATGATGAAATCTATCTACTTTAATCACATTCTCGAATATTTTTAACGCACTAAACTCCTGCATTTTGTATCACTACCCGAATTCAACTGTAATATCTAAATTAAAATATGATTTACAAGAGTAATTATACTGTGGAATTGAGTCGTGCAGCTTCTCATCTGTTATGACTCGGTCGTACGGTGCCCACGTAAATAAGTAAAGATATACAAATAAGAACAAATTCTAAGAAAAATTATACAATTAAAATAAGAAATTGGCCCAAGAGGGGAAAAAAAAAAAGCAAATTCCACTATCTATGATATATACATATAACATGCGTGTATATATACATACATCACGCAAACCTTCACAACTAGTTTTAGTCGACTTAGACCTACCAAACCAACCTCGAAAACAACGCGAGAGAGACGTTTGAGTGGAAATTTTCTTTTGATACTGAAAGTTTAATTTTGGAAAAAATAATAAAAATATTCATAATACGTTTCTTTTTTTTTTGTTGATAATTTAACTTTTTTAGATCTAATATATGTTTTGATATATATATATATATACACTCATTCTTAAAGCCCATTAATATACGAATTATGGAGGATACATATAGTAAAAACCCATTAATTCCCACTCTTGTGTTTGCATATATATATATATATATAATACAAAATAGAACCGATGAAAAAGCATTGTGTTGATGAGTAGGAGGATAACCACCTCGGCTTCTCTAAAGACAAAAGAATTGAATATATACAAATGAAACAACAAGTAGTTTGTAAGTGTTTTTTTTTTTTGTAGTGAAAAATAATGGGGATGTAAATGTAATGTGTATAGTGGAAAGTGGTAGGAGGTGTGTGGCTTAGATTCCTTTAACAGTTAATTACTTCCTTTTTTTATTTCTTTATTGTGGGGAAAAAGGCTTTTTAGAGCAGCCTTACCCGGAAAAAACACACATCCCATCTTCTTCCCGTTGAATGAGGCCACCATTACCTCTCTCTCTCTCTCTCTCTCTCTCTCCGCCTTTATTCTCTAGTGTTCTTTTTCACTCTTTTTTTTCGCCTCTTTCACTTTTTTTTCACCAATATTCTCTCTTCTACTCCGTATTCACATATATATTTACTACGGTTATAACTTTGTAATATAAACTCTGAAAAACCAATAGGGCTTTGCTTTCTGTCTACGCACCGCTATAAACGTATATACAAGAGAGAACTAATTAAACGGTTATAGATAATCAATATATATATATATATTGTTAAGGAATGCTCTGAAATGGCAAACCCTCTGAAGAAAGCGGAGGGTTTAGAGAGAAATAAATGAAGCTGGACACGTGGAGGGTAATTCCGGTACTTCACGAGGAGGTCGTTATAAGCTGTTGCAGCGTCTTCTTCCTCCAGAATTCTGTTTTTCCTTCTCAGTCTTTTTCTTGCTCTCATTCTTTCATTCTCTCCTCTGCGTATTCGTCGATCCTTTCATCGGTTGTATGTTTTTCGATCGTCGTCGTCTCTCGATCTCGTTATAGTGGATTGCCAGGTTCACTTGGCCGTGACGTAGGATTCAAAGGAATCCGAACACGTAAAATCTCTTGTGCATTGTCTTTCTTTTCGCTTTCAGTACCAAATCGATTCACGGAGAATACTCGATCACGGAACAACAAGTACAAGTGGTATCAGAGCCCGGCTGTACAAGGGACCCTAGCATCGAGTGTTTCGATTCATCAAGATCCATCAATTCTCAAGGAATTAATAGCAATGGCAACAGCTGTATCGGTGGTTAAACTAGATGTGGAGAAATTTGATGGCAAGGCAGATTTCTCTCTGTGGAAAGATAAGGTACTCGCAAGTCTTGAAATCTTAAGATTGCATAAGGTTCTAGACGAGAACTACGTTCTCGGTAATGCCACTCAGAGTTCGGAAGAAAAAGGAAAAGAGACCAAGGCAGAACGGAAATTGGAAGATGGATCAGAAGCTGCATCAGATCAAGCATTATCTCAGGAATTGAGATATGAAACAAGTAGGAAGGTCAGGAATTTGATCTTCCTATGTCTCACAGACCAGATTATGAGGAAAGTAAAGAACGAACAAACAGCCTCAGGTATCTGGAAGGCATTGGAACGCGAGTATCTACGGAAAACTGTTCCAAGCAAGATGTTCTTGAAACAGAAACTCTTCGGATTTAAGATGGATGATGGAAAGTCGATGGAGGAAAACATAGACAACTTCAGGAAATTGGTCAGTGATCTGGGTGACCTTGAGGTGGAGATTTCAGAAGAAGATCAAGTCATGCATC